CACATATTTAGGTATGATTTTTTGGGTGCTAGATATTGAAAACAAGGCTTCCTGGATGCTAAGCCTAAACTCTACCTCTGAGCTTTACCCCCTGCCCCCTCCCTTATATTTTAGATATATGAAAACCTGACACTGAGAATTTGAATTAATCAGTGTGTAAAGCTAGATTGTGACCCCGTGTTTGGTCCTCTTCTTACTTATTAGTGATCAATAAATTTAGTGATTTTCATAAAATATTACGCTGGGCTCTTAAAATATCAGAAATTAGTATACTTGTACAATAAAGTCAAACCATAAATTTTTTGTTAAATATGTTCATCCTATCATGTTTTTTCTTTCTCTGACACATTTATCATAAATAAGTGTCTCTAGATCCCTGTTAATATATGTGTTTATTTTACTTTTAGAATATATATGTGTGTGTATGTTATAATTTAGAACTTGGTCCATGTAGTTTTAAACATTTTAGATAATAAAATATTTTTGTGTGTCAAACTTTGCTCATTGGTATAATATTCTCCAATATTATACTGCTTATATTTCTGTTATATAAATTTGCATATCTGTTATATAAAAAGGTCGTGAGAGAATACAGCCTTATGTACTCAGTTTTGGATTTGTTAGCCACTGTGTTGACTTGAACATCATCAAACATTAGCTCCTAGAGTACATAATTCTTCATTCATTGAGGCAAATTATTAAAATAATATAGAACAGACTTCTAGGTCTATTAATCCCTAACTTTAATGTTTTTCTTAAGAATTATTTCTGTTTTAAAAATCAGTCTGTTAATTATTACCTGAATCCATGAGGATGTAGGCTTTTTCAGAGAAACTTCAGCTAATTTGATAAAAGATAAAAAGTTTATGTTAATTTTCATATTGAGCTGTTGTTTTGGTGTGAAAATTTATGTAAGTTAATTTTATTACAATTCATCACAGTACTTTCTCAATTCAAAATTCTGTATTTTACTTTCACTTAGTATTTATTCAGCAATTTGGACATCGGAAAATATTTATGTTGTTGAAGTTACCCACTGTGTCCAGCATATTTAATACTGGTGACAAAGAATGGGTTAAGACAAGTTCTGGTAGAAGGGACTGTATGAAAAGTTGTATGGGATGTTTGTGAAGGGCAGGGGTGGGGGTCAAATTCTGGACTTTGTTCATATGCTGCAGAGTGACAGAAGAATAAGCCACTGAGTGTGGGCTGGCTGACTTCCTGCGTGCACACTTGCTCTCGCTCTCTCTCTCTCTCTCTCCCCCTTTCTTTTTTGTCTGGTCTTTCTTTTCTTTTTGGTGCTAAGGATTAAGCCCAAGGCCTTTGCACTGAGCTACATCTCCAGTCCTTTTTTGTTTTTATTTTGAGACAGGATCTTGCTGAATGGCTCAGCCTGGGCTACTTGCAATCCTTTTGCCTCAGCCTCCTAAAAATCTGGTATTGCAGGAACATACCTCCACTCCTGTCTTGATCCTATATTTTCAGGAAGAAAAATGGCATGGTTAGATTTTTATAAACATCATGGTAGGTTTTATCATCAACGTGCAATTCATGAGTATAGTCAGTCTACTTATTTCTAGATAATCATTTTTTAAGTGATCGTCATGACTGTGATGGTCTTAGGTAATGGATAATGGTGATTCTTAGAAATATTATAAAATATCCATTGGAAACGAGCCATACTACCTGTCTACCTGATTTGGTTTGTGTATAAAAATATAAGTAAATTTTAGGATAAACAAAATGCCTCAAATTGATCTATAAAATAATTGTATATATTATTAACAATACCTTATTTGTATTTTTATTATATTGAAACATCTCATAGAAATTGTTGTGGTCTAACTTCTTTCCTTTTTTCCCTTTCTTCTCTCTCTCTCTCTCTCTTGTTTTCTTTTTTTCTCTGTCTTGTCTTGTCTTCTTTTTCTTTTCTTTTTGGTTCTGAGGATTAAACCCAAGGCCTTTGCACTGAACTACATCCCCAGTTGTCAATATTGAAACCTTAGGTACCTTTTATATGCTCTAGTTGCAGAGGCAATTTGAGGCTAAATGACGGAGTGAAGTAGCTTTAACTAAAAGGGCACAGGATATAAATTCAACCCATTTGTTACTACACATCTCTTACTCTTTTGGAAGCTGTTCCCAGTGATGCCATTTCTTAGGATTTCTTTAAAGGTCCCTGTCCCCTGGCTCTTCCTTCTATACATTCTCTGGGACACTTCATCTGTTCTAATGGTTTTAACTGCCACCTGTGACTCATAATCCCGGTCCAGATCTCTCTTCCAGTTTCAGATTTTAACACCCCTTCCAACCTGTCCAAAACAGCACTCTTAATTCTCTTTCATAATCTGCTTCCAGCACAAACCTCTGGTTTTATCTTGTGGATTCCCTGTCTTTATGTTGTTATAATAAGAATAGCTATTGATTGAACACTTGCTGTCTTCCTTGGCATTTTGCACATTATTTTTCTTGTCTAATTTAATTATCATTACATCTGTTTGGAGTGGATATTATCCTATTTTTCTTATGAAATTTTGAGAAGTGATGTGTCCCATGTCACACAGCTTGGAAATAGCAAATCTGGTACTTGAATCCAGCTCTCTCAGACCAGGTTTGTGGCTGTTATGACAGAATGTCACAATCCCTTTTACGTTATTTAATACTAATACAAATATACCATAAATCTTACAATACCACGAGCCCTTCCCATCTCAGAGCCCTTGCTTGGTATGTAATCAAGGACTTAAGGACAACTGTAATAGTAAGAGTGAGGTTAGCACTTCCAACTTCTGGGAATGTCTCATTGTTTAACTGTTTGAAAATACTGGTTTCTTAGATATAAGTGTGTCAAGTCCCCTCAAGGTATAGTTGTATTCAGTTGTTCTGTGTTCTCTTTCATTTAAGGCTGTTACACTGAGATGTGCTCTTAACCTCTGGGATTAGGATGTCTTTTCATACACTGTCCTTCATTTTCCTCCTCCTATCTTTACCTACCAATTGCTTGGCAATCTTCTTTAAGAACTTAGCTCAGCCATCACTTTAAGTAGTTTTCTTGACCTTCCCTTTCTCTGGGCTGGATGAAGTCCCCTGCTCTGTATTCCTTTATCATCTTACATATACAGATCAACATTTATCACAGTATATTAATATTTGTTTTAGTCATTCTGGATGAGGATTCTGACATAGGAATCATGTCTGAGGCATTTTTGTGTCCATAATGTGTAATGTGCTTTTATTGAATTATTGCCTTACCAAATGACTAAATGGTTGGTTTTATTGGAAATAGCAAATCTGGTACTTGAACACAGCTCTGTCTAAGACCAAGTTTGTGGCTGTATAGGAGAAAATGCCACAATCCCTTTTATGTTATTTACTGCTTTTTTTTCCAGATGGTGAAAACCTAAGAACACTGTATAATTATCCTTTTCAATTTGAGGAGCTAATATAATTGATCACTCATCATAAAATTAAAAGATAGTTTTTCATCTATTGTTATATAGCACCACAGCCATACTGCACTCACTGATAATTTTAAAAGCTATAATAGCTATTTTTAAAAGCTATGGCAACATGTACGTTTTATATGTGTTAAATAGGTTGGAGTTCTTCATTATTTTAAAAGTTGCATAGACTTTTGAGTTTTAGGTAAATGTTAACTTTCAAACTCATTTTGTTCTCCAAGTATAAATTTAATGGTTTGCTGTCAGGCATTGTAATAATTCATGCTGTGATTTTTATTTGTACTGCTATTGTTATGCTTATTCAGTGAGGCTTTAATTACCTCACGTATTTAATTTATTTAATTAATTACCTCACATATTTAATTTATTTAATTAATTACCTCACATATTTAATTAAATATTTAGTTAAAGCTTTTTTCCAAGTTTTTAACATAATCTTAAAAATTAACTAGTTCAAGGTGTAGCACAAGTACAAATAGAAATCCAGAGAGACTTATTTCTTTTCAGTCTCAGCATGATTATAATTTTCCAAAGTGATTTCATCATTGAAATACTTTTTTGCTTTGTGTGAACTTAATAGCTTATTTAGAAATGCAAGCTCTTAAGATAAAAGTTAACATCTTTGGTAGCTTTAAAAGCAGCGCTAAGGGCCGAGGGTGTAACTGAGTGGTAGAGCATTGGCTCAGCATGTATGGGGCCCTGAGTTTGATCCACAGCACCACAAAACCAAAGGAAAATGTAGTAAAACAAACAAACTAAAATAAAAGCAATGTTAAAATGTGCTGTATATGGAAATTCTTAAATTGAAACATTGACAAGAATGGAGAAAATGTTTCGCCTATGTAATAATGAATGAGAGGTCATTTTCCTTTCAAAAAACAAAGTATGTGAAAGAGTTTCATGATGTCTTCCTAGATCTGCTGATGTAGCAGATGTTTATTTGTATTATGATCTTGGGCTTGTAGAATAGACTGTCTGCTTTCTTCCCATGGTTGCAGATGCTTCCCCCTTTGAACAGTTATCCCATATTACTGAAATTATCTCTTCAATTGTTTTATTTTTTGCTGCATCCTAAAACTTATGAGGGCCAAGAGCTAGCTTTTTGTTTGCTACTGTAGAATGAGTGCTAAATATTTTTAGAATAGATGTTGAAAAATAAGCAAAAAACATGGATATGTTCTCCAGAAGTAATTGTTTGGGATCATGGTGAGGTTTAAAGCACTGCAGACTTTGGAATGTATTCTAAATAACTACAGAACAGTTCAGATGAATTTAATATTAAGATTATTTTAGAGTATTTCACTGCTTCTAGTAACTTGAATTACTTAAAACTTGTATTTGAAATGTTCCATTATTCATCTTCTCTATATAATCATTTACTACACTTTGTTCAGGAAATCATTTTGTATTTAAATCTTGTTCTGTCATATTTATTAGCCTATTTACTCAATTCATAATTATGAATTATTCAAACAAAATAATAAAATTAGATTCTAAATATCTAATAGCATCCTTACAAAGTAACTTCATGTTTTGCAGGGTTGAGAGTGCAGATACAATTTTCACATGGATAGAGGTACCTGTACTTTACATATTACCTCATCTCTATAAATTCATAATTTCCGGTGACTCTCTTTAGTATTTCCACTGGTGTCATCACCAGCTGGTTAGGAATGGGGCCCGAGGATGCTGCTTATTGTGATTTACCTTATTCTTAGACTTCCATTTATTCTCCATGGTGGGCATGGGGTGATTGAAACATTTAGAAAAGACCCAGGCTCCTGTATAACAAAGGAAATAAACACTGAATTTCACTGAGTAAAGTCTTGGCTTCTGTCTCCAATCTTCAGTCTTTGTATTCTGTCTCATTTGATTTCACCGCGGTGGCCTCCTTGCTGATAGTTGGACATTCCTAATTGTTTCTACCTAAATTTCTTTACACCAGCTCTTCTAATTAACTCCTTCCTCCAAGGCTTTGCTGATATTTTACTGTCTGCATGAGGCCTGTCCTGATCACTCTGTAAAACTGCTCGCACCTCCCACCCCTCTTCCTGCCCCCTTTATCTTGCTCTGCTTTTCCCATAGTACTTAAAGACTTTGTAACATACCGTGTAATTTATATGCAACTTATTTATTATATCATTATTCTCTCTTGCCGCTGAAACATACTTAATAAGGAAGATTTTCTTTGTGTATATTCTTGTTTTGTTTTGTGGTAGAAGTCTGTGCATTAATCAGCCAGTGTATCTTAAGTACCTGGAACACTGATATCTGGTGTGAAATTGGTCAGTGACTATTAAATAAATGACTGGTTTGGCTTTAACAAGGCTGAGTTTCTTCTTCCTTAGCTTGTGACCTCTTTCTGCACTGCCTTACACCTCCACTGGACCCTCCTATATATGGACCCTCTTTTATATGGACCCTGTTAGTGTATATGGAATTCAAGAAAAAAAGACAGAGACCGTATCCAACAAATCCAGGCCTAGAAAAATTAGAGAACACCTTTTGCAGCTATCTGATTTGTTTCTAACCTTCCTTTGCATTATTGCCAATGAAGACTGAGTATACTTATACTGTACTCTATAGTATTGTTGGCTTTTCCTGTCATTTTTTCCTAGTTTTTGAGACTGGGTCTTGCTATGCTATCTAGCCAGCCTTGAACTTGCATCTATCCTTCTGCCTCAGTCTCCTGAGTGCTGAGATTACAGGTGTGCACCATCATGCCCAGCTTTCCTTGTGGTCTCAACATGGCAGTTACGTTCAGTTATGGCTTTCTCTCTCATTCCAAATCCATGGTGGTAATGGACCTTTTTCATGTGCAAAGACTCAGCCTGGAACTGAATCAGTAAGGACTGAATCACCAAATTAATTGGACCATTATTATTGGTTTATTCCTTTATACCTTTCCCAGGTTTAAGAAGTTCCTAGGAATTAGTTGCTTTACATTCTGATTCTGAATCTATAATTGATTAGTGGTATAACCTTTGGCAAATTAATTATTGGGCTTATGCTTCCGTTGTAAAATTAAACTTGATTTTTTTTTTGTTGCATGGAGTTTAGCTATATAGTATCTCCAGAAATATTTTAAACTTTAGAAGTGTAAGAAGTTTCTTTCAAATTATGTTAGCGCTTAAGTAAGTAATTGTGTTATATTTAAGATTCATATTTAATAAGGTGCTGCCTATCTAAAAACAGTTGAACCTAGGACATAGCAAAAATTCCTTTCTTGTGTACTTTTATAAGAACTGGAACTAGATTATCTAAACAATTGAGTCTTTATCCATGATAAATAACTCAAGGCTACATTCCCTCTCTCTGCCTTCCTTTTTGTCTTCCTTCTTTCTTTTATTCTTCACTGCCCCTTAAATTATCTGTTGCACAGTTTTACTTTGTTTAGGGAATAAAAGGATAACATTTTAAAGATATTTTTCATACATTTTGCTTTTGAATCTGTATTTTGTCATTGAACCTCATAACATCCAAGAGATTGTTGTATATAGTGGGTTCTCCTTAAGTGTTACTTCAGTGAAAGAATTTTTTTAACTATGCTAAATTAACAAAGAAGGTGATTTTTGATTTTTTTATTATTTCAAGAAAGGTGACTCTTTTGATGGTGGGACTTGATAATGCTGGTAAAACTGCAACTGCAAAGGGAATCAAAGGAGGTAAGCTGAAAATATTTTTATGCTTTCTGAACTCTATTAATTTTTCTGAATTATTTACTTATCTATGTTAAATTGTTTTATTACATATTAATTGGGGACAGGTAATATGTACTTCATTATTTTATATTCTTAATATTCTTGTGACCAATATGAGTAAGCTCAGGCTTCATGTTAACAGCTATTATCTTGTTTGAATAGATGCAGAGGCTCCTTGAGATCTTTAATTATCTAGGAGGGATTATAACTGTGTTCTATATAATAGGAAGAAAAAATAATATACTTTTTCATTTAAGGATACCCATCTTCTACTTGTACTTTATTGACCAGAATTTAGTTACATGACTACTCCTACATGAAATAGAGATACAGTTAGCTAGCATAGTGTCTCTTGATGCTCTTTAAAATATGATATATAATTTTTTACAGTTATATTAAAGATAGGCCTTTATGTCATTAAATAGCTTTGTATCATATATATTAAATCTCAATGACATATTAAGTTGGTTAGTGCTAATTTAATGATCTTTCATACAATATAGCAGTGTCTAGGATAGTGAGCTTGTTGGATGCTGAGAATATACCATCAGCAAGGAATTTTGAGCATATGAACTGGGTGAAAAGCTTTCATGTATTTGTAACCACTGTGGAAATCAGTATGGAGATACCTCAAAGAACTAGGACTAGAGGTTCCATTTGACCCAGCTATTCCCTTGCTGGGTATCTTCCCCAAAGAATTAAAAGAATCATAACACAGTGATATATGTGCACCCATGTTCATAGCGGCACTGTTTGTAATAGCTAAAGCTTGGAAGCAGCCCAAGTGCCCATCAACTGGAAACTGGATAAAGAAGATGTGGTTTTTTTATAAAATGGAGTACTACTCAGCCATAAAGAAAGAAAAACTAGAGTCATTTATAGCTAAATGGATGCATATCAAGGCCATACTCTTAAGTGAAATATATAGGACACACGTGTAAATACAGAATATTTTCACTAGTGTGAGAAACTGATAATGTAAACAAGGGTTAAAATGATTAAAATGAATAATTGATAATTTGAAATAGGAAAAAAGGTCCAAAGACAAGAGGGTGAAGGGAGGGGAAGGGGAAAGGAAAGGAGGGAAAGGAAAAACTATGAGAAAAGAAAAAAAATGGAAATTAAATCTATGTAAATAGGGAAGGGCGCACAGGTAATGGGGAAAAAATAAGAACCAAGATATATTATGTACAGGTACAAGCACCCAAAGATAAATGTAAATGAATTGTATACCTAAAATGTACCAATAAAATAACTTAGGAAAAAAAAAAAAGAAAAGCTTTCATGTATTTGTTCCTGAAAACCAATGACTATGACAAGATAACTTGCATATCAAATAGAGAGTGTAAGGTATTTACTAATACCTTACAAAACTTAGTGTCAGAGGAAAACACTATGTAACCACAAAGTCTATGTGACAGTAAATATAAACTATGTTATATTGTATAAGCAGTCTTTTAAAATCTTCTTGGTACCACTCTTGCTATATTCTAGATACTGTATATCCTTTTGAAGCACCCACTGTCATTATCTGAGCCAGAGGTCAGCAAAATTTTTCTGTAAAGAGACAATATTTTAGGCTATGGAGTCATAGACAGTTTCTTTCGGAAATATACAAATCTGACACTGTAATATGGAAGCAGCCATAATAATATGTAGACAGACAAGACTGGCCATGTTCCAAAGATAGTTCATTTATGGATACTGAATTTGAATTGAATGTAAGTTTTATATGTGAGGAAATATTATTTTCAGTCACTTAAAAATGTAAAACACATTCTTAGCTTTTGGGCCACACAAAAACTAGTAGCAAGGGATATTTGACCTGAAGGCCATAATATCTCATCTGAACTTCTTTCCTTCTTCCATTCTTTCAAAACCTTACATTCAACAAGTCAGGTACTTTAGACTATGCTAATCAGACCACCTAATTTGTTGTGCATACTTAGAACGTTCACATTCTGTTAGCTTCTTTTATCCATTAGCTCCTTTCTTTGATTGTAGAAAAAGCTCACATAATAGACTAAAAGTCACAGCTGCCTTCAACTTTTACCTCTCCTCTGCTCCATTTTTGTTTGTTATCTTATATTTATTGCCCAGCCTACTCCATTGATTGACTGCTTACCTTTAATGTTTTTAAAGATTCCAGTAATTTTTTTAAAGATTTATTTTTAGTGTCCCAAATTAATCCTTCTCATGTCTTTGTATTTTTATGTTGTTCCCATTTGTCTTACTAGAGAGAATATCTATGTATCTTTGAAGATTTATTTTTGTCATATAGACTCCTCCTTTATAAAGTCTGCCCCTAATCATTACCACTCCGTCCAGTAGAACTGGCTGTTTCCTCTTTTTGTCTCACTCTTACTTATACCTACAACTTAATTGCATTTTTTTGTTTCTCCCTCCACCTTTTCAGACCCTAAATCTCCGAGGTCTGTTTTAATCATTTTGGTGTCCCAGTTGTTTAGACCATGACTGTTAGGAATACTAGACATCCTTCCTACAGCATCTCTCTCAGAGCCTCTGCTCTTCCACTTACCCTTCTTCTCTAACCTGTCAGTCTGCTTTTTCTTTGAATTTGCTAGTTTCTTTTAAGATATATCTGCCTCCTCTATAAGTACACTATTGTTGCTTAAATCCAGACTCTCAGTGTCTTCCATCTGTAATGTCACTATAGTATCTGCCTTGCCTTGCCCTCCCTCCCTTCTCCTTCCTTCCTTCCCTCTCTCTTCCCTTCTCTCTCTCTTCCTTTCTCTCTCTTTCTTTCTTGTACTATATGAATGCAGGGGCTCATATATGGTAGTCAAGTATTCTACCACTGAGCTAGATTCTCAATCTTTTTTTTTTTTTTTTTTTTTAATCTGGAGACAAATCTCACTAAGTTGCCAGTGTTGACTTGTAACTCATGACCCTCCTGCCTTTAACTCTTGAGTGCTGGGACACAGGCATGTGCCACCACCATTCCTAGTTTAACAATAGCTTCTTAATCTAGAAGTACCTTCCCTGTCATGCATTTTCCTATTTTCAATATATGCTTCTTCTTGCCTAAGTGATTGTATTAGTTGAACTTAGGTTCATCTCATTAAACAGAGACCTAAAGCAATAGTGGTTCAATAAAGTGCAGTTTATTTTCCTCTGGTAACAACCAACACAGAGGCTGTCTAGACCCAGCATGGCCATCCATGATGTTGGGACTTAGGTCTTCATCCTGGCTGCTCTACTGTTCTGAGTATTCATCTACTTGTGTGGCCTGAGGTAGCTGTCCACAGTGTGTGTTTGAGGCAAGAGGTAAAGGTTGAGGGGAGGCCATTCTCTTTTCCTTTGAGATCATGAATCAAAATCTGTTCTATCACTTTAATTCACTTAGCATTGACTAGACCCCACTCCTGCCTGTTCATTTTGTTCATATCAAGTAGCAAGACCCAGATGCACATATCTTTCCCCAGCTCTGCATTCAGGTACCTCACTAGTACTTGGTATTAGTTTAAAAGTGACAATAGTTGGAGCACTTACATCATGGGAATTGGCAGGTACTATATATCAGTCCCCCACCATACTTCTGTTAAATATTTAACAGCATACTACTAGTTAGGACCTCCTGTCATGGCTATTAGCTGCCACTGAGACTGGGAGTTGTGGTCTATTCTAAATATTCATGTGCCTGGAGAAAAAAAAATCTAGGACTCTCTGACTATCCAATAGTGTTTCCTAGTAGAAAACTATTGTTATTTCGAGTGTGAAATTTTTTCTTTGTGTGTCTTGGGCTCTAGTTCTATTGGCTGTAACAAGTCTTCTTATTTATTTTTCCTCAATAGACTAAAAATTCTGTAAGAGAAAAAAAAATGATCTTAGTGATTTTTGTATTTCTTGAGCCTTGCACCAGGTTTAGCATGTAACAGATGCCCAGTATTTGTTGACTATATATTTACATTTTATCTTGGCCTTTCTAAATATTATATTTTGATATAGACTTTACTGAGGGTCTCAAGATTAAGGACCATATAGCTTTGTGTCCCTGGTTCTTGTATGATGCCTTTTCTGTAGTACCTTAAATGCTTACAAGGATGGATAGATAAATACATGGAAGGGCAAAAGAAAGTATGGCAGCTTCAGCTGTGTTAGAAAAGTTGTAATGTAGTATTGAGCCTTATGTCCTTTGGTCTAAGTACTAAAGATACAAAGATATGGTCCTATCTGTTGAGAAAATGTTGACTACTGTAAAGATTATCTAGAAGGTAGAGTATTGTGATAGAGGGTACAAGTGATATTAAAAGTAAGAAGGAATCAAAAGGATTTATGGAGGAAGTATTTAGTCTATCTCATAAGCATTTAGTGTATCTTGAAACACAAGTCTTGAGGAAGAATTAGAGGCAGGAGTAGAGAGTATTCTATGTCCTGAGTTTCATAGTCCTAAAGACCTAGATTTCAGTAGTAGAGGCTTTTGAAATCCGAGGCCTTAGTGTTGAATCCTGACTTTACTAACCATGCAACTGAGAAAATTTTTTCTTAATCTTAACTGGTTTATTAGGATTATTGCTAACATTTTATCTGTGCTTATATTACTCACTCTGCCCAGAATGTTGTTCTTCCTCCTCTGTTAGACTTATTTAGCTTTTAAAACTTTATTCACATTCCACATCTCTGGAGACTTTCTAGTCTAAAACTCAACCCTGCCTTTTTACCTGCTTGTTCTTGAATTCCCTCCCTCTGTCCTTTCCAATCTTTTTCACAGAACATGCAGATTTTGTTATGCCTTTCAATTTATCTTTGTAGTAGCATATGTTTTGCTAGGCAGAACCAATCAACAGAATTGCCTTAGATGGGAATGGTCTATATTGGCTCTGTCCAGTAGGGTGGGCCACTAAGCACGTGTGACTTTTGAGCACTTGCCCTAGAACTGGTATAACTGAGGAATGGAATGCTTAATTTTGTCTCATCCTAGTTCAGTTAAAATGTAAATGCCTCATGTGTGTTGGCTACTATTTTAACCATGCAATGGTAAACAAACTCATATGGAGTAATACTTATAGTGGATTCTAGTGAATTAGGGAGGAGAAGAGAAGAGACAAATACAGAGCTTGAACTTTTTTCTATAACCAATGAGGTTTTATTAATCTTTCAGGAGTTCTTTCTTTTCCATTCTTTTGTTTTTATTTTCACTTTCCCTCTGTGGAAAGTGGCTATCACTCACTTTCAGTTAGCCTAAAGACTTTTTCAAGATGAATCTTAATAAAGTACTACTTTAATCACTTTATTTGTATGATTGGTCTACCAGATACCTTCAGTGGGTCCCCATTCTCTGTCTTCAGAACCCTCTTCAGTCTGGCTTCAGTCCGTGTTCACACTCTTAAGGATTTGCCCCAGCCATAGTGTTTAATTTGTTGTTACTTCTTTCACTTTTCCACTTACTTACCTTACTGTTGTAGTCAGTACGATTGGGCAAGGGAATACATTAAATATAGAACACATAACTTATAAGGTTATTTTATGATAATTACCCAAAGATTTAAATGCAAAGGAGTAAATAAGAGATTAACCACACACTAGAAGCCCAAAGGATTCAACTGAGGGCTTAGATGCCAGCAGTTTCCCCACACAAGTCCAGTTGAAGACCTAGAATCCAAGCCAATGTCCTCGAGTCCAGCCAGTGGCCTAGAGCCCACGCCAATGTCTCATTCTTGTCCGTATTGAGGATCTGCACCTGGATGCCCAAAGACCAGTGGTGGAAACCAGAAAATCTATGCTGGTGAGACGAAGGATTTGTGCCACCAAGCTGAGGGATCCACACTAGAGCCAGGAAGTGATGCTCACGGTGAAGATCAGAGCTCCCCTGACAAAAACAGCAGCCATTCCTAACAGTGAGGCCCTGAGCTCCTCCTCCGATGAGAACATCCTAGTTTGCATCAGGAAAACCATCCGCAGCAAGCTTCATCTAGCAAATCAACAGATCAAGATCTTCCCTTCCAGTTCTCCCTTTATGGCTGTTGGTAACAATCTTCAGGTGGATCCTCCACGCCCAGACCACACGGATTCAGTTCAGCTGGGCTTTACAAGTTGACCATTTGTTAATCCACCACACTTACTTAAATTGTACTTATGCATGTTTAAATCCTATCTAGATTTTAGGCCTAACTTCTTCAGGGATCTTTTAAAAATCTCTCAGTGTCTGTCATTACCCCTTTTTGGCAGTTATAATCCTGTGTATCCTGTACCTTGTCTTGTTATATATAGAAACACATTCTCCTTTATAAATTATTGGAACTTCCAGAATGTGTTCCTATAGAAATAATGAAATCTACTCATTCATTTTGCAAACTGCCCTTGAAATTCTCTTTTTCCTAATTTTAGCTTTGATTTATCTAATTATTAGAGGGTGGTTTTACTCTTTATTAGTTCTCCAGTTTTTTGATTCTTCTAAACTCTTTTTTTCTTTAAATGTTTATGATTTTCTTTATAATTCCGCAGAAGTGGTAACAGTCCCTGGTGATGACTATGGTATTAAAGATCTGAAACATTTATTGTTTGTAAGTTGAAGGATAAATAGCCTTAAAGGCAAGAGTTCACTCATTTATTATTAAGTACCTACTGTGTGTTAGGTGCTGGGATTATACTATTTTTTTAACACAGAAATTTCTATTTGCATGTAGTGAAAACTCTAGTTGAATATTTTAATCTCTAATGTCTACTGAAATGAGTAGGCTTGGATATAGTTTCTGATGCATAAGCAAGTGATAAATATCCCACTTAGTGCTAAAGCATAATGGAGAACAATTTTTATGTTATTTAAGTTATAAAGTTAAATTAATGTTATTAAAGTCTAAAGATTGTTTCTTTTGTGTCCTTTGAAACAGAGCATCCTGGAGATGTAGCTCCCACTGTTGGATTTTCCAAAATTGACCTTAAGCAAGGAAAATTTGAGGTCACCATCTTTGACTTGGGAGGTGGAAAAAGAATTCGGGGAATTTGGAAGAATTACTATGCAGAGTCATATGGGGTAATATTTGTTGTGGATTCCAGTGATGAAGAGAGAATGGAAGAGACAAAAGAGACAATGTCAGAAGTGCTAAGACATCCTAGGATATCAGGAAAGCCTATATTGGTGTAAGTAACATTTGTATTACTGTAAACCTAAAGTCAGTGACATTTGCCAGTGAAGTAATTTATCTGCTACAAAATATTCAGTAAGTAAAAATAATTATGGTGTGGTATAATAAAAAAAAAAATATATATATATATAATTAGCTGTGAGTTACTAATACACTGAGTTCTGCTTATAATATTATCTGCAGGGATGAAGAGTTGAGGGTCAGGCTGGGGATGTACCTCAGCGGTGTGCAGTGCCTGCCTGGCAAGCACAAGGTCCTAAGCTCAATTCCCAGTTCCAATTAGAAAAAAAAAAAAAAAAAAAGAGGTGAGGATCTATTATAAACAAACCTTATAATTAGATCTCCTGGGTATTTAAGTATAAACTCTGCTTTATTTGATGATTTACTTTTTAGTGAATTTTGCCTTTGGAAATAGTCTATTAACAGAGCTCTTGAATATTTTAAAATTTTTTCTCCTCTTTTAATAACATTTTTCTGTTGTCCTTTTTTTGGGGAGTATTTGTGTTTGAAAGTTATTTAAGTGGTTTATTTTTCTAATGCCACATTAATTTCTCAGTCTCTATAAACTCCTACAAATTCATATTGCATACATCATCTATATCATTTTGTTCTGATGCCTAAGCAGTTTTTAAGTCAATGGACTTTTGCATTCATAGCGTTTAGGCATAGTAAACACAAGATGGTGCTGTAACTATGAGATACAATACGCAATTACTTCAGATTGTTCTTTAACTTGAAGTTAATTGAATATTTCCCTTTGCCATCTTGTCTCTTCATCCTCATTCTTGTGATTCATAACAACACGCTTTTTAAAAATTAACTTATGCAGTTAGATGAAAAATTTTAAGTATAGATTCTCAGTGGTCTTCAGTAGTAACTGAAGATTTTTAAATGCAACAGTTTGAGAGCTTCAATTACAAAAGTCAGAACATTATCACATCATTTATTGATAAAGTTTATTCTTTGAAATTTTTGTACATTTAACTCAGGGGAGAAGTTACTTGATTTATATTATCAATTCTCACCTTTATTGAATCTAAACTTAACCTCAGTAGAGATATATATGAAAAGTGAACTTTGTTGACACCACAGGCTAGATTAGTCTCTACAAGTGGTTAAGCAGAATCAGTAATTTCTAAAGGACCAAACACTAATGACGGTTGGTCATTTATAAAATAATTGTGTTTGCATTTTAAGCAAAGAGTCTTTAATTTATTCTTTCATTATTCTTTTGTGCATTTATTCATGCATGCATATATAAATTCAACACATATTTTTTGAGCATCTACTGTGTGCCAAGCATTATTCTGGTGAGGGTATATGTTTGGGAATAAAAACAACAAAAATCTATGTATGACTTCTGGAGCTTACATTCTAGGTAGAAAAGTACACAATAAATATAAGTAATAAATCATGTCATATATTGTGATGAGTGTATTGAAAACAGTGTATCACATAAATGGAGATTAGGAAGCAAATGGTGGGGTGATGCCAAGAATATAGTGCTCTCATAATTAAGATAATAATTGTAGGCTTCAGTGAGAAGATGACACTTTGAAGTGAGGGAGTTGGTCATGTAGATATCTGTGGAAAAGCCCCAGAGAAACAGCATGCAATTGTTAAGTAACCACAGTGATTACTGAGTAATCAAATAACTGTCAGCAAAATATATGCTTTCAGTTCTGTCATCTCTCTTAGCTGCTGAGTTTCTTGAGTAGTAAAAACAAACACGACTATGGGTATTGATTTACCAAAATAATTTTATAGTCGATGAGAACTCACAAAGACATCAGAATTTATTGTTGATATTATAATATGTTTAGGAAATATAGGATGTTTTGCCATTTGACTAATTTTTTCAAGGAAGTTTTCTAAGTGTATTTTAATTTTAATGAACATATAGTAATTATACATGTTTACGAGTCATGGTGTGACATTTCAATACATGCATACATTGCGTAATGATTAGATCAGAGTAACTGGCATATATGTCACTTGATGATTTCCTTTGCTATATAGCAGCTTTTAAGTTTGATATAATCACCATTTGTCATTTTTTTGCTTTTGACGTCTTTTCCTTTGAGATCATATCCAAAAAATCCTTGCCCACAAAAATGTCCTGAAGTGTTTCCTCTGTTTTCTTCCAGTGGTTTCATTGTTTGAGATGTACATTTAAATCTCTGATCCATTTTGCATTGATTTTTGTATATGGTGAGAAGGGTCTAGTTTCTTTCTTCTACATATGGAAGAGACTTTTCTTTCTTTGATATATGTTCTTGCTACCTTTGTTGAAAATCAGGTGGTTATAAATATGTTGGTTTATTTCTGGGTTCTCTATTCTGTTCAGGTTTTCTTTGTGTCAGTTTTTATGCCAGTACCATACTGTTTTGGGAAAAAAAACTTTTGAAGTATATTTTGAAGTCGGGTGTGTAATGCTTCTATCTTTGTTATTTTTGGTCAGGATTGCTTTGGCTATTTGGGATCTTTTTGGTTCCATAAAAATTTTAAGAGTGTGTTTTTTTTCTCCTATTTTTGTGAAGAATGTCATTGGTTTTTGAAGGACTGCATTATATCTATAGATTATTTTGAGTACTATGGACATTTTAACAGTGTTAAATCTTTCAGTTCACAAATACTGGATAGTTTTGTGTCTTCAGTTTCTCTCGTCATTGTTTTATAATTTTCACTTTAGAAATCAATCACTTCCTTGGTTAAATTTGTTACTAGGTTTTCTTTTGGAGGGAGGCTCTCTGAATGGGAATGCTTTCTTGATTTTTCTCAGCTTGCTTGCTTGTTTGCCTATCTATCTATCTATCTGTCTATGCAGTACAAAAAAGCTGCTGACCTTATGTCGATTTTGTATCCTAGAACTTTACTGAATTTGTTTATCCTGTTGTTTTTGATTTGATGGGATCTTTAAGTATTTCTACATGTAAGATCATGTTATATATAAAGAAGGATAATTTAATCTTTTCCTTTTTCATTTGAATGTCCTTTATTTCTTCTTCTTGCCTTATTCTTTTAGCTAAAACTCCCAATAGTATATGGAATAAGAGCAATGAAAATGGGCATTCTTGTCTTTTTCCAGATCTTAGAGGAAGTGATTTCAGCTTTTCCCACTCAGTGTGATATTAGGGAGAGGTTTATTGTACATAGCCTTTTTTGTGTTGAGGTACATTTCTTCAGTACATGTAGTTTTTTGAGTTTTTTTTAATGAAGTGACATTGAATTTTATTGAAAGCTTTCATTTAAAACTTCTATTGAAATCATAGTAAGGCTTTTGTCTCGTATTCTGTGGACATGTCATTTTTTATGGGTTGTTTGTTTGTTCTGGTCTGACTGAGTTATTTCAAAAGACCTGCCTTGGAGCTCAGAAGTGTTTTCTTCTGCCTGACCTCTTCTGCTGTTGAGGTTCTTGACTGTATTTTTAATTTAATTTACTTAATTCTTGTGCTCCAGTATTTGTGGATTTTTGTTTTGTTTTGTTTTTGTTTTATATCATCTCTATCTAAGCCTGGTGTGGTGTCACAAGCTTTTAATCCCAGCACTCAGAGGTTGAGGCAGGAGGATTGTCAGTTCAAGGCCAGCCTGGGCTACATGGTGAGGCCCTTTCTCGAAAAACAAACTAACAAAAAAATTCTCTTTGCTGGTCATTGATATCATGAATTGTTTTCCTAATTTCATTTAATTGTCTTTTTTTTTTTCTGTCTACTTAATTTTCCCAAAACTTGTTATTTTGAATTCTTTTGCAGGCAATTAGTTGATCTTTTTCTTTGAGCTCTATTGCTAGATAGTTACTGTGTTCTAATAGAGGTGTCATGTTACCTTTTCTTTTTTCCAGTCTTCTTGTGTCCCTATATTGATATTTATGTATCTGGTGGATCAGTTGCTTATATCCATTTTATAGAATGTCTTTTAGATTAAAGGACTTTATTCTAGCAATGTGTCCTAGGGTATTGGTTTGAAAGACTGCACTGGGTTTAGTTCCAGGTGGGCACTTTAATGTAGGGTCTCTGTATTTTCTTGCTTATGTACACCAGCCCAACAGCATGACTGGTTGCGAATGTTGCCTTGGTCAAATTACATGTGATATCACAGATTTGAGGTTTTTCTGGAAAAGTCAAAATCATAGCATTATTTGATTATTGAGTGTTATTAGCTCAGAATGATGAAAAGTTTGAAAATCATTGACTTAGAGGATTAAGGCTCTGAAAAGTTGATTTTAAGATTAACAGTGAATTTTCTTTCAACTCTGGCAAGTTATTTTATTTCTTTGAACTCAATAGCTAAATGCTTTTTCTGCAGTAAAAGTAGTTGCAAAATATGGTTCTATGTTTGTCTTCAGCTGTATATAGTAATAGAAATCAGACTGTGGGCAATTAAATATATTCCAATAACAAATTTTCAATGAAAAGGTAAAAATTATTTTCATTCCTTCTAAAGAGAGTAAAAATAATGTCATGCAAACATTTTTTTGCTGTAATTATGTTAACCTGTTTACCAAAAAATAACCCTTTTTCTCTCTTATCAATTATAGACACAAACTTTAGCATCTACTCTTATTAACTAAAATATAGATTATGTTACTGCTGTGGCTTGGATTCTTAATATCCCCAAAGGGCCATATGGTAAAGACGTCCCCAGCATGGCGCTCTTGGGAGAAGGTAGAACCTTTAAGGAAGGGGCCTAATGAGAGGTCTTCAGGTGATTGAGAACATTCCCTTCAAGAGAATAGTAGGACTATAGGGTCTTCCTCTTCCTCTTTCTTTTGTGCTTCTCAGGCCTGCTTTGTTAAATGCTCCCACCATGATATGCTGCCCCGTCACCGGTATAAAACCAACAGGGCCAAACACTTGAAGGATTTGAATCTTTGAAATGATGAGCTGAAATAAAATAAATCTTTTCTCTTTGTAAGTTGATTTTCTCATATATTTGTTAGAGTAATAGAAAGCTAACACAGAAAATTGGCACTTAAAAATGGGGGTCACTCCTATGACTGTACCTACCAATGTGGAAAAAGTGTGGAATTGGTCTGCAATGTGGGAAATGTTTGGAGTAGTGGACTAGACAAAGCCTAGGACGTTAATGGGTGATTCTTGGGGATGGGGTCAGAAGATCAGAATGGTAATAAAAATGTAGAAAGTATAGGTTATGCTGATGAAGTTTCAGATGAAAAGAAGACTTTATTGAAAACAGGACTGAAGGCTTTCCTTAGTACATTGTGGCAAAGAATTTTAGAGCACCATTGCATGTGCCTCCTTTCTGGCCAAACTGCAAATTTTTCATCTTTGTTCTGTTGTTTTTTGTTCCAGATTCTCACAGTAAATTTGGCTAAAAGCAACTTGAATGTTTAAAGCTGCCTTAAAATTTCTTCCACCAGATGGAGTAGTTCATCATAGTTAAGCTCTGCTCCATTCCACCATGCATGGGGCAGTTTAATTCATAGGTAATTAAAAAAGAGTGCTTTATATTATTAATGGCCCTTGGGACTCTCTAAAATCATACACAATTCTGAGTGTATGTGCATTTTTCTTTCCTTAATTCTAAATTCCAAAAAAAATTTATTCCAGTTGAAGCGAGTTTCCATGAGAGGAGAAACAACCAGGCTTTCATTATTACTTTTTCAGTATGGAATTTTGTCTTCAACCTTTATATGCTTATTGACTCACCTTATTTCTAGATAGTGTAATAGGAAAATGTCAGTTTGCAAGTTTTTTTAATTATATTCTTTATTTAAGTGCCCAAGGAAAATTAACGAGCTTGTACATTATTCTAATGCTGTCATTAGAAACTGAGTTCAATGTACTTTTATTGTTAGACCTTTAAATAATAAGTAGGACAATCTAGGTCATTTTAAGAATGCTGGAGACCCTTGAGTATCTACCTATGTCATATAATCAGTTGATTCTTACAGTTTTTAGTCTCCTAATTTACCACTTTCACCCTTGGAAAAATTTATAGGGCCCATTAACTTAAGATTTGTCTTCATTCATTGCAACCTTACAAGTTGTCATCTTCCTTGATCTCATTTATTTATAGTGTTGACTCACCTCCAGACATTCTTACTAAACATTTCCTTTAGTCCCTTAAAGTGGAGCATTCAGCTACACTTGCAGCAGCTTTCATTTATAGTAAAGAATTTCATCTGGTTGACTCTGTAGCTCGACAAATTTAAGCATTGGAAGCTTAAACACTTTTTAATATTCATTAATATAATTATACCCTGCCTCGCTCTCCAACTCCTCACCACAGTCTGTTTCATAACCAAACAACAAAACAACAAAAGCAACAACAAACTTGTTCGACAGTGATGATCAGTAGTGAGATGACCATGGACTACTTAACATCTGGATCTACCCAGAGCTTCAAAATTTTTGAGAGTGAGGCCAAGGGTATGTTGTGTTTGTTTTTCACAAGTTCTTCAGATCCTTCTAATACACAGAAAAAATTAAGAACTCCTAGGGTAGAAGAAAATGTGAGTTTTGGGGTCAGACAAGCCTTGGGTGGTTACTTATTCTTTCTGAGCTTTATATGGCCAGTTGTAAATAAGAGTTTTTATACCTGTGTGGTTATATAATTAAAAATAATACATTTAAAGCAGTAGTGCAGTGTCTTACTAGTTTACTGTAAATGTGATGGTGGATTTGTGTATTATTATTGTTAATGGTATGCTGTGTCCAACTGGAGATGAGATAGAAGGGCTGGTTTCAAAGTGACCTTAGTTTACATAATGCTTGTGAATAGAGAAAATAGTATAATTTAGTAATTATGAATATGAGCTGTAATGCTCATAAACAATTTTTATGATCTCATAGGTACAGAACCAGTAGATTTTTAATATTTATTGTACCTTTCACTCTTTCAAGAGACTCTTTTCTTTTTCAGATTGTTATATTAAGAAAATCTTACTGCTTTACTTGTAGTACCTATTAAATATGGAAATAAAATACTGTATACAAAATATTCATAGTTAAATATTATTGTGTCTGTTGCCTAGGTTCAGATTACAGTAATTAGTTTAAAAACATAGTAATGAAATAGTGTATGCTACATTGCTCGGCAGTGAATCTGTGTGTTGTCTTCATTTAAAAGCACTATGTGAAGATAAAACATGCTAAAGGAACTATTTTTCAAATCTATCTGGGTTATATTAATATTGATTATATTAATTATATTAATGAATATTAAATAATGTTTAATGTTCTCGGTTTTCATGATGAACAATTTAGGAACAATAATAAGCACCACTGAAGCTCTGAATAAATTTTAAAAGGAAAAGAGATAATAGCTATCATTACTGAGTTAGCTGTGGAGTTTGTCCTGTGTTTTAAATTATCTTTTTGTAAAGTTCTGTTACCATTTGAAGCTGAGGTATGTGAAACATCTTTTCCCCTAGTAAGTCTTGATAAATTGTCAGAGTAGAAAGCACTTCAATTTCTTTATATTTTATAAGTCAACATTATATTATAATGCATATACCCATAGACATACCCATACATGTAACGTATATAAACTCAATCCTTTTCTAGTACTCCAAGCTTCCTTATCACATGTCCTCCAAGGTATGGAAAAGTCACTACATTGATTACACCTGTTCTCTACACATCCCATGCCAGCAGGCAAGCAGCTAAATTATTGCACTGGCTGACCTCACATTAAAGTCCTGAAGACACATTTCTACTTTAAGGAAGTACTAGAAACTATCACAGAAATATTCTTCCATTTTTTCTCCACCATATTTGTTCAACTATCTGATTTTACTCCTAAACTGTGCCTTTCCTCCTTGCAATATGCAAGATGCATTTCTGCTCCTACCCAAAGCCAGCTTCACCATTTGCATTGCACATCGTAACTCTTTGTGCTTTTGCATACTATCTCTTCCCTTTCTTATATTAGGAGGTTCTCTGAATCACTGCCACCAGCAAAATTTGCTGTCAGGTTTCTTTAAGCATTAAGTAATCCTTTAGCTCCATGTCTCTTTCCAGCTGTTGATTCCTTTTTATAATGCTTTCTTCAGACTTCTAGAAAGAATTGCCATTACTTGTGTAATTCTTTCCTCAACATTCTGTATGTATGCTTTCATTCCTACAGTTCTGTGAAACTGCTTTTGTTCAAGTCAAATATTATCTCCATGCTGCCAAATCTGTTGTCACTTTGTTGCTCATTTTTAACCCAATGATAACTCTTTCCTCTATTTTTTTTCTTCTTTAGAGTATTCTTTTGTACTACTGCATTCTTCTTTAGTTTTTCTTCTGCTTTATTGACTATTTCACTTAGCCTCTTTTATTAAATTTATAATATCCCAGGTCCCTTTCTGACTTCAGGTTTTTTGCTGTGCTTTTGTTTTTGTTTTTTGAGATAGGGACTTGATGTATATTCTAGGCTGGCCTTGAACTCAAACTCACTAGTAGTCCAGGATAGCCTTGAACTCATTGCAATCTTCCTGCCCCAGCCTCCCAAATGCTGGGATTACAAGTATGAGCCACGACACCCGGCCAGACTTCAAATCTCTTCCATTCACATACTTTTTAGATTACTTCATTCTATAGTTGCCTTACTTTACATACCATTTCTTTACTCAAATGACCCAAATTTATATTTCCAGTCCCGACTTAATCTAAGCATTCCTACTAAAATAGCTGATTGAAGAAACTTCCACTTAGATATTGTTATTTCAGATTTTCTTGACCAAAATAGAATTTCCTTCTCACTGCCAATTGTCTTTTCTTCATCTCTGTCTTTTCTTTTCTAATAGCATCATCATGCAATGAACATCTTGCAGATTTTACCTCTTAATCACATGTTTAATTTTTCTAATACTACTATATAGTACATAGCTGTTAAGAGGTGATTCTAGAAATCAGGCTGCCTGTGGTCAAATATCAATTGGGTATGTGCAGTTTCTATGACCTGGAATTACCACCCCTACTACCATCCTAATTCTGGCCTTAGTTACTTCTTGTTAGACTACTACGTTACCCTTCTAATTATTTTCCTTGCCTACATGCATGTCCTCTACTCCAAATTCATTCCAACCCACTCTTCATAGAATGATCTTTCTCAAACATAAATGCTATCATATTAACTCTCAGGCAAAACAGTTTGACAGCCTTGTGCTGATTACACTTGGTATAAACATCAGGCTTTTTTTCACATCTTATGAAGCTTTACATCTGGCCCTTGCTGGTTTCTCATAACCTCATCTTTTCCTCACTGTTTGTTTGTTTTACCAATCATGCCCTACTATATTGTCACTTTTCTTTAGTGAAGTAAGTCGTACCCTTCTTGTGGTCTCTGTACTGTTTGCTTCTTATGGCTGGAATAAAGCCTCATGTGTATTTATTATATAGATCTTTACTTAAATACTACCTTTTAGAAAGACCTTCATTGACTCCCACCATAATGAAGCCATCCTGGCAGCCTCTGTATCATGTCATCACCATTATTTTAAGTCTCTGTCTGTAACTTAACATTAATTATCTGCCTTCTCCACCAGAATATAGATTCAACTATATCCTTAGCCCATAGTATAGTGCCTGAAGTTATTATAATATGATGTCAGTACATTCAAAATCATAATTACTTTGTATTTTTATCTGCCGAGTTCATTGATCTATTACAGTGTCCTGTATGGCTCGGAGTTCAAGAAAACAATGCCTTAGTTGATTCTTAGGCCTTCAACTTAATTCAGCTACAAGTTACCAGTTAGATTCGCAGGTATATAGTTGAGTTTTCCCGGGATATGCTAATTACTAAGTTAACTTACCTACTGGAGAATGAAAGACTTAATGTGTATTTTGGGTTGATTTTGTTTTATTGTAGCATCCTTAGAGGTCTTGTTTTATATAATTCTTATCGATCAAAATATTCTGAAGTGAAAGAAATGGAGTTCTTAAGTAGTAAGCACTTAATTGAATTTTCATCTTTTTAAAGCATTGAAAGTTCAAGAAATGTGTAACAAAATTTAAAACCTGATCAGAAACTCAAGATCATTTCATCCTATTTTTTTTTTCACTTTTCTTTTTTGGTACCAGAAATCAAACTCAGGGCCTTGTGCACGCCAGGCAGGTGCTGTGCCTCTGAACGACATCTGAGGCCCTCATCTCATTTTTAATAGGCTGTAAATTGAAGATAGGCATATTGTTTTTACTTTAAATACAGATTTGTCTAATGTCCCTGACTTCAGAAGTTTCTGCAATTCAAGTTGATAATAGTTAAAGGAGAACTTAATGACTTAACTGATAAAATGTGTGTGAATGCATCCATAAAATGAAAAAGCACAATATAAGACACTGAAATGTGAGATCTCCTTCACTCTAAAGCTGGAGAAGTTTCTAAAATAGCTTATTTTGAGCTACAGCATGGACAACACCAACAACACAGTGCCCTGCATGGATTTCTTCTTTTGTATTTTACAGCTAGTCCAAATTTCTCTTTAGTATTATTAACATAATCTTTTGTACTGTTCACTATCATTTCAATATTATTGAGGCTCTCTCCTTGTTCCTCTACTAAAAGAGATATCTGAATAAAAAGATCCCTTAAGTCCTTTATTTGGTTCTCCAAATTGACAAGTTCTTTATGTCTCTGTTCAATTTCTGAGAGTTGTGTTTTTGTGATATTTATTTCTGTAAGTAAGCTCTCATTAAAAACTTCCCATTTTCCTTGAAAAAGCATATCATTTACTTCTTCTTCAGGTACCTGTTTTCCAGCAACTTCAAGCTGACGGAAAATAAATGTCTTGCACTTGTCTTGCTTTGCCGCTATTGTGTCATTATACATAAACATGGTTTGCTGAAAATGATGGACCATCGCAGCATGCTGAGATTTAAGTATCCTTGTCACCACTGAGAATGGTCCATTTTCAAGCTCTGACTTTTTAACCTCTTTAACTAACTCACCCAAATTTCTGTTAATGTGTTCTGCTTGGGTTTTTATCTCCTTTGTAGTGCTAGACTCTCTCTTAAGTAGACTAAACCTTCTCATTGAAGCCACCAGACTTTTCTGTTGCTGTCCAAATTTTTGGACATCATCTGTGAAACTGTTAATAGTCTCCTGTAGTTTTTGGATCTCATGTAGGTGTCTCTCGGCCACAGGTTCTCTTTCATAAATAATAGCTTGTTGCTCAAACGCCCCTTGTTCCTCTGTTTCTGTAGTAAACACATGACTGTCTCTAGAGAGTTCAATTTCCTTTGTTGTCTGCTTGAGTTCTTGAAGTCGGTCTTTCATCTTCCCTTTCCTGCTAAGAAGTAAAAAATATCACATTGAACTAAGAGAAAGTTGGTATTTTTCATGTGTACTAGTTAGTTTGATTTAGATATTTCATTTTTGAAGAAGGAGCTGTATGGGAGCATAAATAGCTCACTGGACTACATATAATACTAGTATCAAAGAAAAATGTCTCTAATGTTGTGCTGTGGGACTCAGTATTTGATATGTTCGTACAAACGCTTTTAACAATGATTTAGATTTTGGATGTTGTTACAAAAAACATGTTAATCAAATTTGGAATTTGGAGCAATCTTTAGTATGTTGAAGCGAACAGTTAGGATTCAAAGGTTGCAATAGCATTGAAAACAATATTAAAAGTAATAACACATTTAACAGATATAAAATATTTCAATGAATTGTTTGAAAATATCTTTGCTTCTAGACAATGTAATACTCTTGGGTTCATAATAGAGTCTACAAAAGTATTGGATATTTTAATAGTAACTTTTTATAGCTATCAGGGTAGTTATGCTTTTACAAGTAACAGTATAATATAATGTCTAAATAGACTTAGAAAGATGTGTGTTGTACTCAGAGTATATTTGGGTGGGACTACATTAAGTTCTAAGCATGCTTTGAGATAGAAATTCATAAATTAAGAATTTCCAAACTAGGATGGAAAAAATGAGATTGGAAAACCTTATCAAATGGTGAATCATTGAAAGAAATGAAAAATCTTTGCTCTGGAAAAATAAGATGTAAGGAATATATGCAACAATATTCTAGAATATAAATATCTATATATACAAATGGAATTAGATTTATTTGGCATAACTGCAGAGCACAGTAGGTGATAATTACATAGAGGTTTGATTCAGTATAAAGAAGACTTTTCAAGGCAGAAGAGCTGTCCCAAGATGAAGTAAATGCTTCATGAGGTGATCAGCTGCGTCAATAGAGATGTTTAAGATGGTCTTGAAAGATGACCCAGCCAAGGATGTTATAGAAAAGATCTCTGTATTGGGATAAAAGTTAAACCAGTCTCCTGATACTAATCCTTTGGTTTTAAAGGACTGGCATTTTGTTAAATAATTATTGACATCTACTCTGTGCAAAGTTTTAAATCTGCAGTATACATTCAAGAACATCTGTCCTTGAGGAATTTTCATTCTGCAGGGAAATGAACAATATAGAATTAAAGAGATAAATGAGAATTTTTAGTTCTTGATAAAACAATCAGAAAAGGTCTAAGTAGATATTTGAGCTGTGATACCTAAATATTGAGAAGAGGCAAGGGAGTATATTATGGGTATAGGAGATTGGAAGTCAAGGCAATGAAATGAGACCAATATGTTTTCAAAACAAAATTAATGCCTGTGTAGGTAAAAATAACAAAAAGGGTAACATCAAAAGAATGAAGTCAGAAAGGTGGGTAGGGACCAGATCACAATGGGCTTGTGAGCCAAATCAAGAGTTTAGATTTTTATTCTAGGTTTGACAGAAGACAAAGTATACATAGGGTATTGGCATGGTTTTTTTTTTCAGTACTGGGGATTGAACTCAGGACCTTGAGCTTGCATGCAAGGTAGGCATGGAGCCACTGAGCTAAATCCCCAGCCCTCGGCGTGATTTTTTTTTTTTTCGGTACCTGGGATCAAACTCTGAACCTTGCCCTTGCAGGGCGGGCATGGTGCCACTGAGCTAAATCCTTGGCCTGACATGATTTGTTTTTAAAAGATACTGTAGCTTGCTGTATAAAAAACTGTTTCCCAATTTGGGAAAAACAGTTCACAGGAGAGACTTGGGTGATAAAATGGAGATAGAATAAATGAGAATGATCAGGATATATTTTTGGAGATAAAAAAATAGGACTTGATGGTTTTAATCTATCAGATTTTAACCCAGATTTTAACATAGTAGAAAAGTGTTTCTCTCGGTTTTCCTTTTACCTCTTTGGCTCTTTCCCACCTGGGTTCTCTTCTTTCTTACCTCTGAATTTTGGAATGTTTCCAGTCTCTAAGTTTTTATTAGATTTTTGGTTAGAGTTTTTAATCTCATGGCATGAAATATTATGTATTAGCTCACTACTCAAATTCGGATCTCCAGTATAGACTGCTTTACAGCACCTGCTACTTGACAGTTCCTCTTGAATGTCTACACCTAAATTGAGCATGTGACCTTCTCTTGAGCCTCTAGCCTGCCCCATCTCAGTAAATGGCTGCTCGATTTTTTGAGTGAGTCAGACCAAAAATGTTGGGAGTAGTTTTTGACTTTTCCCCCTCATATCATTTCCAAACTAGATAGCACTTCATATCTAAGCTAATAGCAAATCTTGTCAACCTCTGTTGCATGGTATTTTTTGATCCAACCTCCTCTTCTCATCTCCCTGGCCCAAGTCATCATTATTTCCCTCTTTTATTACTGTAACATTTTCTTAAGTGCTCTCCTTATTTCTTATTTTGTACACTCCACCCTCTTGATCCTTCCATAACACAGAATTCAGAGTTAAAATCGAAGATGGATCATGTCGTTACTGTGCCTAAAATCTTCCTTGGGTGTTACTTCACAGAGGAAAAACCAGAGCCTACAATGTTCTACATGACCACTTTCCTACCTCTTTGACTTCACCACTTCCAACTGCCTGCCTCTCTATGCTTCAGCCTCACTGTTCTTGATGTTTCTCACACAAACTCTAGGCACTATCCAGCCTTAGGATATTGAAATTTGCAATTTTCTCTCTTTGAAATGCTTTTCTCCACATATGACTTATCATTCAACTTCTTCACTTCTTGCTGAAGTGTCACCCTCTTAGTAAGACTATCTTGGTCACCCCATATAGAACTGTAACAACCTTCTCAAATTTCTGACCCTTCTCTGTACTTTTCACTATTTAACAGACTGTGTAATTTACTTATCTTAATTTATTGTTTATTTTCTCCCCCAAATAAAAGCCCCATTGGAGCTTTGTTCATTCTGGTATTCCCAGCAACCTTGATCACTCTCATATTTATTGAGCTCTGACGTTGCATTGTTTATTTACTTGAGCTCTTAATATGAGCTGGGTACTGTTCAAAATGTGTGGTATTTTCCTGTGAGAACTAAGTGCAGTATTTACTAATGAAATTAAGATCTGAGTTTAAGTAGATTGACCAAGGTGTCAGCTTGTGGTAGAATTGGAATTCAAGTGCTGGCCATATGGCTTGAGACTCAATTTGTTACTATGCAGTAAAGCCCTTTTCAGTGTTGTCCGAAGCTACAGAGAAGTTGTATAGGGTGAATTCAGAAAAGAGGAAATTACTTCAGTTAAGTGGTTGGGAAAGAAGATGAATCACAAGGGATAAGACCTTGAAATTTGTTTTTAACTGAAAGAGCTTTTCATAGATGTTAAAAGTATACTCAGAAACATTTCCTATTTAGTTACATTGCTGAACATACTAAGTACTGGTTAGAAACATTTAAGAGTAAGCTATTCTTGTCTATAATGCACTTAGGCTATTTACTTTTTAAATATTTAAGATATGTCACTCAAATACCATGCAATCTTTTATTTTCCCACTAATTTTTTAAAATAATAGTGAAAAAGAAAAATTAAGCAATTAAATGTATGCAACTCATAGACTTCTAACCTGGAAAAGAATTCTGCTTGCTCCTCACTTTATTCTGTATATTCCACTTTACTTGCAAGGAATAATTTCTCTCACTTAGGAATAGAAGTAACTGAAGCTAATAGTTTTCTCAGATCCAAGCAGAAAAAAAAATAGTATGATATTAAACTCAGAAATTTCATAAAAAGGAAGATTAGTCAAGAAAGAATATCAGAAAGGTAATATGGATATTACTGCCAGTGTTGGGTGTTAGGAAAGTAGATAAATATAAGACATAGTCACTGATCCATATAGTAGGTGTTTTTTGGAGGGGGTGAAGGGAGGGTAGGTTAATGGGGAAAAAATAAGAAACAAGATACATCATGTAAAGGTACAAGATCCCTATGATGAATGTAACTGTATTGTATACCTAAAATGTACCAATAAACTTAATGAAAACAAAAAGAAAGAAGTGTGAAAACAACAACAACTAAGGACAAAAAACGAAAAACCTAAGGACAAAAAGTTTTTTAAAAAAGAAAGAAGTGTGAAGTATGCCCTACATTGAACTCACCACTCAGCTAAGTAAAGCAATCAAGCTGTGTTATTTATTTTGCCTAAAATCTATTTGTCGTTTAGGTTACCATGTCCCTTTTCCCATGGAATTTGAGTGTCCCCAGAGGTTCTCTGAGCAAACGCCAATACCTGCCTCATGCGGTAGAGCAGCCTACAGTCCTTAACTCCACATTCAACATTCATTCACGTTGACACAAGGCTTCTCTCACTTCCTCTCATCTTAATTCTCATTCCACAGAGTTTGTGCCTATTTTGTTTTGAAGCCATCAAAACACTTGGTTTAGTTGTTCACTTCATATTTGCTTATTTCAATAATTAAATTGGTTGTATCATGAATGTCATTGTCTGCTGATCCAAAACTCTACGTTTCCAGCCACCATTTCTAGAAATTACAGTAAGACGAATCTCTATTAATAATCATGAAATTAAAAAATCACCATTATAACTATCATGAAAATATAATTAAAAGTAGTATTTCTCACTGAGTATCCACAAAATTCTGTTGGAAGGGTAATGATTGACCAAATGACTTTCCAGGTGAAGAAATACAGATGCAGAAGGTTACCTGATATCCAGTGTTACCTGACCTAGGAAAACACAGATCTACTTCATTCCACTCCTTCCTCCTACGGAAATTTTAGCTCTTTAGCATAAGCCTTTGTTCTGTAATAAAATAAAAAATATTCCTTGGAGCAAAAAAAAAAGGAAATGGATTTCTTAGCCTTTTCCATGCAAGTAGGAAATAAGCCAAATAAAGGGAATGTATGTAATAGAATGCAAGCTCACTATTATTCACAGCCTCCACTAAAATGAAAACAAATTGATTTTTATCTGGATTTCAGTGCTCAAACAACCAATTGAAAGTTCAGGTTTGCTATTCTCATTTTTGTATTATTTTTCTTTTTAAACTATACTAAGCAAATTAAATTTATAAATTACATATAAGTTGTATGTAATCACATATCACAATTAACTATCTAGTTAATTGTGATTAACATTCTGAATATAAAATTTCAAATTTTAAGTTAAATTTGAAAAGATTTTTTAACTTTATAAAATAATGTAATATAGTAATTCTTAATGAATTTTAAATATTTAGTTTGTGAAAAATTCTACCTAATTTTATGTTAACAGTCCAGATATGCTTGACTGTGACGTTAGAATAACCATTTCCCAAATCTTGGCTGCTTAGGAGTGCAACCTTTCTTGCTGCTTAGGAGTGCAACCTTTCTTGCTCATATTTCATATCCATAATGAATTTATAGGGGCACTGCTCTCAGTCTTGGTCACTTGGAAACCTAAACTCTACTTTTCTGAATGTGGTAGTCACCACAGCAGGGAGAGAGCACACTAGAGAGAGCCTCTCTTCTGCATTAAAATGCTACAGCCTTGAAACGATCTGTGCCACTTTCCTTTAGAAGTCCTCAACCAACTGAAAGTATCTGTCAGTGAGGTAAAGTCCTCCCCTGTTCCACAAAGGAGAGGAGACCCTGACCTGGTGACCTTTCTAATTTGATTACAGAAGAAATCCTTGGAGGATAATCATTTTTCTCATTTTTTTTAATGTGAAGACTGAGAAGCAGAAATGGTCAGTGTTTTGCGCAGTTATGGTGAACATGTTAATAGTAGTACTGTTCTAAGAATACAAACTTCCAAGCTTCTAGACCAATGCTATATCCATTATAAAACATGTAAATTTCATGTAACATATTATATAAAGCTGGGACCACCATCATACTCTTCTGTTTTTCAGTATTTTATTAAATAAATAATGTTTGTGCTCGTACAACATGGGGAAGTAATTGTAGAAACCTCTCATGTGGCAGCTCTGTGAAAGTAGTCTTCTCAATTCCAGTGAGAAGGAATTTGATGTTAATGTCAGTTAGCTTAGTGATTTATTTCTAATAGCTTCCTACTATTCTTTATTTGGCTTAGTGTTGTCACATCCCTATGTATGTGCTTTTTCTGCTATTACCGTATTGATGTTGAAAATAGATTCTTTCCCAAAGTGTTTAAGTGTTTATATTACACTCACCTTTTATTAGCTTTATCAAAAATGATTTTTATTTTGTTCTTAATTAGTACATAGACATAGTTTAAGAAGTCAAATCATTTCAAACTTAGAAAGATATATATCTGACCCCTGACTACTCTTCCATAATCCCATTTCCAGTTCCCCTTTCTCAAGGTAGTCATTTTCAGCCCCTCAGCTGTAGGTTGCTGGTTTTTAATTTATTTATTTTTTTTAGCAAAACATTTATTGGTACATTTTAGGCATACATAATAATAACATTCATCATAGGAAATTTGTACCTGTACATGGTATATGCCGCCTCTTTTTTCCCATTCCCTCTTGCCATTAAGTTTCCTATGTCTAGATAATTTGCTTGTGTGGGTTCTGCTTCTTCACTTTTATATACTGTATTGCATCTCTACTATAAAAGATGTGGATTTAAATTTCTCTTATTCTTTCACTTTTCGCCTCTTAATATAGTCAGATAATAGGTAGTATTTTATGCTTACATTATTATGGCTACCCAAATATTATTTACATAAAGTAAAGTATTATGGTTATAATTTCTTTATCAAGTAATTTTTCCATTGTTTTTAGGTCTTTTCAATGAAGGAAATGGAAAATGTGTGTTTTGTTTTATGAAAACTTGTTATTTGCTCTTTTATATACATACACAGAAAATACTCAGAAGATAAATGGGCAGTTTGGTGATTTTTCGCAAAGTAAATACATGAAACACCACACAGATCACTAAATCATTCTAAAACTAACCAAACAGAAAATGTCTTCCTATATATTTAAATATAGCTGATATTTTAAATTTCGTTTTATTAGATCATCTTTTGATGCATCTTTTTTTTTTTTTTTTGGTACCGAGGATCAAACTCGGGACCTTGCGCTTGCGAGGCAGGTGCTGGAACCACTGCGCTAAATCCCTGGCCCTGATGCATCTTTCATAGAACCCTGTAATGTGACTTGATGGTGTTAAGAGCCCCTCTCTCCCTTTATAGTATCTCTTTCAGACCCTGGTTCCTCATCATTTTTGGTTCATCCCCTTTATTTAGCAATATACCATAGCTTCCTTTCAAAATATGAATATAACCTGCATTTCTGAAATGTTTTTATTCTCTCTTTACACCTGACCAATATATTTCCTGGGAATATAATTCTTGCTTGGAAAGTATATTCCCATAAAAGTTTGAAAGTTTTACTATGTTATCTTCTGCCTTTATTGCTCTTGAGAAATATTCTATCTGCTTCCTAATATTTTGTATAAGATCTGTTTTTTTCGTTGTTGTTGTTTTTTTGGGGGTGGTATCTGGGATCGAACTCGGGTCCTTGCACTTGCCCAGCAGGTGATGAAACCACTGAGCTAAATCCCTGGTCCGAGATCTGTTTTTATATTCCCTTTTCATGAAATGTTTGGCCATTCCTCTTTATTCCTGGTGTTCCAAAATTTCACAGTAATGTGACTTGGGGTAAGTCTTTTTTCTTTTTCTTAATTTTTTTTTGGCTTAATATTTAGTGGCTCTTTTTAATCTGGAAACTCATATATTTTACCTTTTCTTTTCAGTTTTGTTTTATCAGTATAGTTTAGCTTTAATTTCTACTCTTCATTTTGGCTGAGTATGTTCCATTTTCATATCTGCTATCTGAAAGTCTCCCTTTCTTTAAATTTTAATGAAATAGGGTGAAAATTTGTCCTTTTTTTTACTTCAGGTTATATCCAAGGAAACATTTCTACATCTCTGCATCTTGATTAAGTCATAGTTGATTATCTTTGTAGAGTTCGCATAATTCAGAATGTTCCTGTGATGTAAAAACAGACTTAATGTAGGTATTTGGGCACCCTTACATGCTATATTTAAATTGTATTTTCTAAGAATTTCAGAGCTATAACTATAGGCACAATTATTTCTAGTTTAATTGATCTTATATCTTCAAAGATTGAAAGATTAGGCAAAGTGAACCATTCAAGAATGTTAGAATTTAAAAGTTGGGAGGGACAGAGTTCATATAGGCATAAATATGCAGCTTATAGTTGTGAAATCATTCAATTCCTTAGGTGAAATTGGTGAGATCACTATTTTATGCAATATTTCCTATACTTTAAATTTATTTCAAAGGTGGAAATGTTTTACATGAAAATGAATCATCTTTCAGCATATTAGCGTAATAATGGCTATACAGTCTTGAATTTTACTCTGTACACTGGATTATATTTTTTATTTTAAACATAATATTTGAAAAAAATAAAGAACAGTAATTGGGACAGAGTAATCAACTTCGACACTTTGTTCTAGGAAGTAGAAAAGTAAACTTGAATGACTCTAAAACTTTCTCCTCCCTGTTACAGAAAGTACATTCCTAGATACAAAAACAAATGAAACTTACCTAGTGCTTTAAGAATTGTGCTGTGGAATATGTACTTAATATGCTTACAGATTTATTTAAAGTAAGCAATTTCTTTCTACACTTGCTGTATTGCTTACATAAGTTATTTCAAAAAATATAGCCAATTTTAAGCCAAACATGAAATATCTTTTACTTTTGCATTTAAGGACAACTTGCAACATTTCTCAAGTTCAGGGTTAAAGCAATGGAACTTATTGAAATATTGACTTCTCTGGCTACTTAAACAAGAGCAAAATAGTGCTTTTTAAAAATAGACTAACAATTATTGCACTTTGCATATGTTATCTATGTTTTAATTACCTGGCATGGTTCTTGTATAGTCTTTAAATACTTTTTGTCCTATTTTTAGTGTAAATTATTATATTAACTTGCTTAATTTAATAATAATAAAATCATTTTTATTATGACTCAATATACTTTTTACACTTTCATTTATCTGATTCAGGTACCTTGTACATAATTTTTTATATTAAATTTAAAAGTGAATAGCCTTAAAGATAGAATATTCTAGGTGTTACATGGCCATCTTTCAAGTCTACCGCTAAAATATCTCAATGTCAGTATTAGTTGCACTTCAAATGGCATATTTATTAAATTCTAACATGGTAGTAATTATAAGATAGAAAGTATCTGATGTATTGTAGGTTGCATTTAAATGACACTGACTTAAACATTATACTGATTTAATAGTTTAAAAATTTTATATTAAATTTTATAATTTAAGTACTTTCAATATACTAGCTGAAACATTAAAAAGGGGATGGAGTACTTTGATAATTCATGTTAGTAATTTTACAATAAAATTATTTTCTAATTTCTTCAAATTAGTTTTAGAACATTCTGGGAAACAGCAATAGAAATTAATTAAAACTGTATGAAATTATCTCAACTTTAAAGGTTATACATATATGTGCACTTTAGGTGTAACCTGACTTCCTAATATTTCCAAAATGAGAAATCACTTTTTAAAGAACTTAAAAAATTATTTCTTCTAAAGTTGATTAAGAGTTTTGTGCCTATGTCCTGTTCAGTTTATCAGTATTATGTATAAACAGGGTAGCCATCTGTGGCATGTCCAAGTCTGAGGAAAATAGGTAAATTTAACTTTCTGTTGAGCTATATTTAAATGTCACAATATAACCAGATTTTGTCTATGAATGTCTCACATTAAGAAGTAGAAAAAGAGTAGTTTATTTACCTTTCTGTCTTGTTCCTTACGTTGTTTTTCCACTGCCGTGTTAGAGTCCTGCCTCTGAGACGAAATCTGAGTATCATCTACTGTAATGTTTGATCAAATTATTTAAATGTCTGTCTTATAGGTCACAGCCTAGTTTCTGTATGGTTCTCATATAGTTAATTGAAAGCCAAATAATGAAGTCAAATAAGTTGGAGATAAAGTTATGCTTTTGCTGTTAATATAAATGAGAACACCTGGAGAATCTGGTTCTACCAGTTAAACGCCTATTCTTCAGATTAAAGGAAGATTTTCATTGGAGCTAGTTCAGTAACAGGAAGTCCTTGTTAAACTGCCCACATAGGCTGTGCTGCACATATAAATATAAATCTAGCCATATATTACCTGTGGAATAATACAACAAAAAGTTTGTATTTAAATAAAGGTTATTTTCTTTTCTTTAGATATCGAAACCTGCTAAAAGTACAGAATAGGAATCAATTGTGGTGGAAAGAAGCTTGGTGTAAAGGCTTTTGCTCCATTTACTTTAAGATGATTGAATTCTACCCTATTTTAGGAAATCCTACAAAGACCCAGCTCTTAAAAATCATAGAATTTCAGAAGTAGAACAGCCAGAAAACAGCTCATGTCTTTAACCTTCCACCCTACTTTTCTTAATATACTGCCATTTTTACTTTAAAATAAGTTTCTTATGTAGTTTTCAGTATAGAATAACTAAAGTTGTACAGCAGTATTAAACTGTTTATTATACCAATGTAACAGTTCAAAATTAATTTTTCAGGAGTATTTATAAAAAGTTACTTGTGAAGATTTCTCTCATACTACTCAGTTTCTTAACCTGTCCCTTTTTTTCTACCTAGATTATTGTTTGAGGGCAAGAGAAGGAACATTGTTATAATGGCTGACAAAATAACATTTGAAATTATTTTTTGATTTAGAAGCTATACTGCCTGGAATCTGTTCCCCAAATAAGAAATGATTCCACACATCTATTTTTCACAGCGCTCTTAAGTAAAAGCAAAACAGTAGAAACACAAAAGTCTTGCAGTACAGAAGTGGCTTAATAAACGATAGGATAGCTATACAGTAGAATATTTTACAATTGTACAGCATAATGAAGAAGATTTTTTTGTCCTCTTCCAGAGTTTCTCTTTCATTAGAAAATACATGCTGCAAAAGAAGTTTATACAGTACACTAGTTATTATACATACAGGTACATACCAGTTACTCCCAGTGAAGTCTATAATGTCCAAATTGAGGCTTTCCTTATATGGAAGTACTACTTCTCCCATACACTTACTCAAAATACTATTTCTCCCACATGCTTGTTTTAATATTTTCTAAAATAAAGAATATAAAGATGAAATAAAAACTAATTAAAATAATTACCTATAGAAGGGGAGGAATTAGAGGAGAAGGGAAAGAGATGGACAATGATTCTTTCCCATTATACCTTGGTTTTATAGTTTTGAATTTGGAACCATGTAAATATTTTAAAAATTAAATTTTAAAATACACACTATCTTTTGAAAAAGCAAAAGGACCTTGAGACAAATGAATCTAGCTATATATGTAGCTGGTGACCTAAATGCCCAGAGAAGGGTTATTTCAAGTAATTTATTTTATTTATTTATTCAGTGTGTGTGTGTTTGTGTGTGTGCGTGTTGCTAGGGATTGAACCTAGGGTCTGTGCATACTCAGTAGGCACCCTACCACTGAGCTACTCCTGCAACTCTTCAAATAATTTAAAATCTCAGTATTTGGTACATCTCTAATGTGATATATCTTTTTTTAAAAAAGCACTAACAGATCTTTTCTTCATTTAATAAGTCATATTTTAGTAATAATATTGATATTCAGTTGAAACATAACAAGATAGAGCAAATGGTTAAGGGCAGTGTTATTAAAACTATACTTGTCAGCATACATGAAGAGAGATACCAATGAAGTCTAAGAAGGTAAATAAAAACTTAGTAATATTTGATTTGAAATAAATAAGAACTCATGTTTTAGCTTTAAAAAATGAAACAAACCTATTTCCAACTGTGTGCTCTGAAAGGATTGAGAAGCAATGACAAGTCAATAGCAGTGAATATCATTAGTGTCCACATTATGTCTTTAACATATCATTTTTTACAGAAATCTCCCTAAGAAACATAGGGAAATAGGCAATTTTGGGTCTCAGACATAGCTTCATGTTAGAAAGCAAAGAAATTATCAGCAGCTGTTGAAGTTGTACAAAGGAGGAGCCCAGAGCCCACCTGAAGGGGGCTCTGTATCCAAAGATGAGCAGCTTTGGGCCTTAACAAGAACAATAACTGCAATAAATGCAACTACATCAAATATATTTTAGAAAATCAATTTGTAATGATACCCCCTAAAAGAAGATCTTAACAACATGATAAAGCAACTATTATCAGTTTTGGGGGTGACTAGGGCACCAATGAATTACGAAAATTAGAAAATAAAACCAAAGGATCAAACATTTATCTTGATTTAACTGTGACTTGTATTTAAGAGTCACCAGCAAATTGATGGAAGCTAATTTTTTTTTACAGAAAACTCTGCCATTAAATACAGAAGGAATATAGAACTATTTTTATTTTATAAACAAAATAATTGGATTAAACAAACCATCGATTACTGTTAAATTCATTAAGTGAAAAGTTAATAAGGAACTCATTTTGAGTGGATCATACTATCTCAAATCCACAGATCAATTTTAATGTCACTAAAATATGACAATATAAAAGTGATACATCATCCTTTCTAGTTATCAGCAACCCCATTAGCTATGTTGCCAAATTATTTCACCCTGAAATTCATCTAACCTCCATATCTAATTGCCAGATGTAGGAAATATAAGATATGTATGTTAACGATCTCATGAAGAAGATATAGCCAAATCCTAAACATGTACAGTTCTACAAAAGATGATTTGTTTTCTTTTAAAAATAAATGCCATGGAAGGAAAAGAGATATTGTTGGAGTTGGGAGAGGGTAGGTATTACCGATTTTAAAGACTTAGGTGTGAAAGTCCCGAGTTCGATCCCCGGTACCAAAAAAAAAAAAAAGACTTAGGTGTGATAAATTGTAATGTGCATTTGGTTTGAATCTGATTATGAATATAACACTTGTAAAATGATATTGAGGAATATTAAGTACATTGAATAATATTAAAGGCTTTTTATTAATTGTGTTAGGTATGATAATGTGGAACTGTTTTGTAATTTTTTAAATTTTTGGTGAAGTAATATAGCCGAAGGGAAAAGAGTAGAAGGTGTATAGATCAGCATGAATGACACAGTATTGATAATATTTAAAGGTAAATGATAGTTCATTAGACTTACTATTCTGTATATTTATCGACACCTTTATTTTTTCTCAAAATTCTAACAGACTCTGAACAAGGACAGTCTAGTTATCACCCAGTATCAAAAGGGATTGGTTCCAGGACCCTTCACAAATACCAATATCCAAAGATGTTCAAGTTCTTCCTATAAAACAGAAGATTTATATGTAACTTATGCATATCTGTATACTTTATTTATTTATTTCTGTATTTATTTATTTATTTTGGTACTGGGGATCAAACTCAGGACCTTGCACTTGCGAGGCAGGCGCCGGAACCACTGAGCTAAATCCCCAGCCCTGACATCTGTATACTTTTAATTACCTTTAGATTGCTTATAATACTTTATATAATGTAAATGTTATGTAAATAGTTGTTACACAGTTCTGTATTATTTAAGGAATAGTGACAAGAAGGAAAGTCTGTATACAATCAGTACAGTGTTTTGTTCTTTTTTTTTTTTTCCCCAAATACTTTCTATCTGAGGTTGAATTCACGGATGCAGAGTCCATGAATACAGATGGTCACTGTATTTTATTAAACTTTTTGACCTCTGCCATCTAATAGGCAAATAGTGGTACTTCATGGCAATTTCTGTTATCTCTAGAAGTTGTCTGGTTTGTCATTTGATTCCCCAGTTACTTTTTTAGTGTTAGTTACTTTTCTCTTGCTGAGACAAAATACCTGACACACAGAGTTAAAGGGGAAAAGGTTTATTTGGCTTAAAGTTTATAGAGGTTTCAGTCCATAATCAGTTGGCTCCAAGGCAAGGTGGCAGAGGGGCAACAGAGGCACAAGCAGCAAAAGCAACAAGGCCACAAGAGACCTTAAGAGTGTCTTTCTGTTCCTTTTTTCTTATTCAGACTACTGGGATTAGGGCAGTGCCAAAGCAATCACTCTTGTGTCCTGGTTTAGTAACCACACACCCTTAATCCTAGCATCACACATTCCAGATTTACCTACCTTTGAAAAAGACTGCATGAGGGGACATCTAGACACAAGGAACAACACCCAGTTTGCTACTAAATGAATGTGTGTCTATGTGTGTATGTGAGTTGCACATAGTGTATTTATTAATGTGCAGTTTTACGCCAAGTAAACTAGAAGTAGCCCTGAGCCTTCAATAAATTTTACATTTACATGGACGTATTCACATACTAGAAATGTAGATGAGCCCAAATATAGAGTGAATAATTGACATTTAAAATGAAAGTTTGTATTTTATTAAGATAATTACATGAGATAAGGATATTTACATCATGATGCAGTTTAAGAGATAAGGGCATAATATGTAGCTGTGGGCCATGGAAAATAGCCCCCTTTTTTCCTGTTTGTTGGTTCTTTTAGGGCTACTGGTCTATTGTTTGTGCTTTCTCTTTTTTTTTGGTACCGGGGATTGAACTTGGGGCCTTGCACTTGTGAGGCAGGTGGAGGAACCACTGACCTAAATCCCCGGCCCCTTGTTTGTGCTTTCTTGATACTTCTTGATTTTGCTTTTATAGGCCAGTTCTTATTATTTTATCAGTAATAAATAAGGAAGAATGATGAGATAATACTAAAATACTTTCTAAATCATGTTCTGTAACCAGTAGATTTATAACTATTGAATAGAAGGACATGGTGAAAAATAATAGGAAATAGACCTTTTGCAAGTAGGAAGGAACCAAGAGATGGAGAGAGAGAGGAGGGCAGAGGGGAGAAGGAATAAAAAGAATGAAGACATGTTATGCACATGTACCAATTCTCCATAATGAGGGTTTCTTTTTTTTAATGCGGTGCCGGGGATCAAATCTGGGGCTTTAGGTCTGCTAGGCAAGTGCTGTACCACTAAGCTACAGCTCCGGCCCCATCCCATGATGATTGCAATCGTTAATTTAAAAATATTTTGAAGATGTCAATTGATTACAGTTTGTTATAAAACCACTTTGTTTTCTAGGTTAGCAAATAAGCAGGACAAAGAAGGGGCTTTAGGAGAAGCTGATGTAATTGAATATCTGTCTTTAGAAAAATTGGTTAATGAGCACAAGTGCCCATGTCAGATAGTAAGTACTTTTTCTTTTTTGCTTTTTACAAATATTTTTAGTATAACTTAGTTTTCACAGAGGTGATAAGTAGTCAAAGAACAACCTTAAAAGAATTTTTTTACATAGCCAATCATGCTGTTATTATTCTATTAGTATTAGTTACATTGTAATGTGTTTTCTGTTTAGCTGTTACTGACTTCCATGAGCTATCCTTCATGATTTCAGAGTTTTTAACATTGCTTTCTGTAAAGAATGTATACAAAAATGTTATGCTATAATTTTTTTAATGGGAAAGAAAAAGTATAAGACAAATTCAGAAATTCATAATGAATTTTGAAAAATTCATTGTCATACAATCTTAAGAGTTGTCATACAATCTTAAGAAAGATGCATGGGATTTAATTATTTGTTCTAGTTTCACAAAATTATTATTAGGTTGTCAATTTTATGGACGTTTGCTGCTATAAATTCATTGGTAAAGAAATTAAAACTTACTAATACTCTTAATAAGTAGATGTATTTTTCTTATGGCAGGTCTATTTTGTCTTCTAATAAAATTGTTTAAAATTATAACTTACAACTATCAACTTCTATGTCGTAGTGAGTCTTGTAGCTTACAGATGCCATATGTAAAATCTTTCAATTTCTATGTAATATTGAGGTATGTTTTACAAGTTATGTAAACATATGCTTCATATAAATATTTTAAGTGGCTTACTTTTGATTTGCCAGTAATTATACTTAGTGGTTAATGAGTACATTTGTGTGGAGAGCTTTTAGTTTTATTCTTTGAATCAAATAAACATCTATTGTAGGAACCTTGTTCGGCAGTCTTGGGGTATGGAAAGAAAATTGATAAGTCTATTAAAAAAGGCCTTTATTGGCTATTGCATATCATTGCAAGAGACTTTGATGCCTTAAATGAACGCATCCGAAAGGACACAACTGAACAACGAGCCCTGGAGGAACAGGAAAAACGAGAAAGAGCTGAACGAGTGCGAAAATTACGAGAAGAAAGGTAAATAGCCTAATTTTATACCACAGTACATTTGAAGAGTAAAAATATATGGCAATTTTATGAATACTTTGCAACTTTTGTTTATTCAGTCTACTTGTTCTATTCAGTTTTGTGTCCTTTTGTATGAAGGAGGATACTAAATAAATTGCCTATTTTATGGATCTTCGATCACCCAAGTTTAAGTGATAGATTTTTTACTTTCCTGGTGGTATTATACTACTTACATGTACTCCCTGTTCAGTCATTATTTCCCAGTTTCAAAATTTCATCTCATATCTTAGGAGAACATTTAGAGCAGTGGTTATCAACATACAGGGAGATTTTTACCTTTTGGGGAACATGGAGAAATGTCTGGAAAAATTTTTTAATTGTCACAGCCAGGTGGAAGGGAATATAGTACTGATACCTATTGTGTAGAGGCAAAGGATGCTGCTAAACATTTTACAATATGCAGGGCATTGTCCCACAACAAGGATTTATAAGGCTCAGAATTTAAAAAGTATAGAGACTAAGAAACCTTTCTTTAGACTTAGCAAATATAGAAGGTGAGACGTTAGAGGGTAAATTAACTTAAGAAAAATCTGATTTCGGTACTAATTTTGTCAGAAAGTAGACCACATTATACCATTTCAAGTTATTAAAATGTATATCTTTTTTTTTTTTTTTTTTAGTACCAGGGATTGAACTCAGGTCCTTGCGCATGCGCAGCAGGCGGCGAAACCACTGAGCTAAATCCCTGGCCTCTAAAATGTATATTTTAAGTCATTATTAAATATGATGTGAGAAAGAAAACATTTAAACTAAGTTCACTAAACTATACTTTTAAAAAAGTTTGCATTAATTCTACTTCAGAATCATTTATAATTTTAATGCTGCAAGAAAGTGCTATGATTTGAATATAAGTTGAATTTAATACTTAGCTTTAGATTTCTCTTTCTCTTTTTCACTCAATTGTTACAAGGTGGAAGAAGGAGGAAAAAGAGGAAAATTGAAAAATATTTTTAAATGAGTTCATGTAAGATCCAAAGTTGCTTTCCATCAACCTAAGTAATACTGGCTTTTCATACTGTTTAACATAGCTGCATCCCCATAGGCAAAAACCCACTACTACTGACCTTTGTGAGGAAGGCTGTATTTATCTTAAATTATAGCGGAAGTCCTCTGACAGTGTTCTTCTTTAAATTGAAATAATTCCTTAAAGGAGAAATATTTGTAAAAATCACTCTCCTCCACTTTCCTGAAGTGCTCTATTATACGAGCATGTGATCCATCTAGGTCTTTATCTAACCAAAGAAAAAAGAAGACAAGTGATCTTGAGGCAGCTGCCAATATGAGGTTTTAGTGTGAGAATCTTTGGTTTCATATCCTAGAGTATATTTTCATGATATAAAGCTCATTACAAGTAGTCATATATGTAAAATACCTTACTTATAAAAATAAAATATAGGGCTACTGTTTTCTGAAAACTTCCTTGCCCTATCTCCATGAAGAAAACAAAAACATGGGATTGAGGATGTAGTCAGTGGTAGAAAACGTAAGCATGTGTAAGGCAGAGAGTGGGGGGAAGAGGAGAGAGAGAGAGAGGAAGGAGGGAGGGAAGGAGGGAAGGAAAGAGGAAGAAGAGAGGGAAAAAATCAAGTTGGATACAAGAAACTTAATGTTAGTCATTTTAAGAAAGCTTTTACCTATTCTGCGTTACAGCAGGCTTTTCTAATACTCATTCTCCTTTCCTCCTTTCTCCTTAGCCTTGGCAGTTGTGGTCTGAGACCTCTCCTGTTTAGCTGAGACTCTCTAAAAATAAATTGGTATTTAAACAGGATAGATTACAGAGATTAGAAAATAATCTTTTTACTTTGCTAAATTCAACCTAATTGGTCCTCATAATCATTTCCAATTTTTTTTGAAAAATGGTAAAAACCCAATTTTGATATCAAAATAGTATATTAATACTATATACCTGAAACTGTTGCTAATAAATGAGTAACATGAATAACAATGACTCATGTTTTCCTTATTTATGAGTCCCCTTGCATATTTTGCCTTATTTGATCTTCAGAACACTTCAATGAGGTATTTTTTCCGTATTTATGGGGAAGCTGAGGCTCACGGATCTAGTCCAAGGTCATAAGAATAGTTAATTGCAAATCTCTAAATTTTGCCTTTCCAGATTCAGAATGAAAGGATATATATTTCCATGTTAGAACACAGTTAATAAATGTCATAGTAATTGAACATTCACATTGCTAATCTACTAATGTAGATGATGATCCATAATACTCATTTTTCTTCCTTTGGCTGCTTGTTTTAGTAACTTACTTTTCATGTATTGGGCAACATTAACTCCAAATCACAGAAATCATAATTGATTCATTAGTAACTAGTATGGGAATATTTAATCTGAATGATACAGGGAAACTTTTTTTACAATTTCTCATATTATTAAACAAAGCAGCAGTTTTTACCTGGCTATTCAAATGTGATATACACCCAGACAAAACTAGTACTACTTTTTTTTTATAGCACTACTTTGTCATATACTTGTATAAAATCTATAAATGTCACGCTCTCTTCTTTGTACTGTAAATAAGAAACATCTTTGTGTATAAATAAAAACAGGTTGAGTTAAAGGAATGTTTCCAAGTTGTATTTAAAAATAGAAGACTTTTCTTTTAATGATGGTAAAAATAATAGCTTTGATTTTGGAGGGTAATTAATAATTTGACAAATATACACCTTTGCAAATGTGAAGAAATAATCTGTACATTAACATTAAGGAGTTACTAGCTGAGTGTGGTGGTGCATGGCTGTATTCTCAGCACTGTGGAGGCTGAGGCACGAAGATCCCCATGAGCTCGAAGCCAGCCTGGGCTACATAGTGAGTTCAAGACCAGCCTGAATTACATAGGGAGACCTTGCTTCCAAAAAGTGAAACAAAACAAAACAATGAAGAAGGCACTCATAAGGACTGTCATTTTGTCAGAATTTTTTCTTTTTAATTCAAATAACTAATTTCTTTTTCTTTTTGGTTGTTGTTGCTTTTTTGTTTTGTTTTGTCTTGTTTTGTTGAGACAGGATCTCACTATATAATTCACTCTGGCCTTGAACTTGATATGTAGCCCAGGCTGGCCTTGAACTCATGGCAGTCCTTCTGCCTCAGCCTTCAGAGTGCTGGGATTACAGGAATTCACTACCACTCCTGGCTTCAAATAACTAATTTTTAAATGAGGACAGAGGCCTATTACCTGCATAAGTTTTTTGGTTTTTGGTTTTTTTTTGGTATTGGGGATCGAACTCAGGACCTTGCGCTTGTGAGGCAGGCAGTGGGACCACTGAGTTAAATCCCCGGCCCACCTGCATAAGTATTTTTGAATTCCTCTCACTAATTCAAAGCTATGATGAGATGTTTAAATTACTAAGCCTACATACCCATAAACCTACTGCACATTGGTTTATTAAACATAATTCAGCACTTTTTACAAAGAAATTTCCATTTTCCCCCTCAAATAATAGGGAACAAAGAGAACAAGAGCAAGGAGAACTGGATGGAACCAGTGGTCTGGATGAGTTGGACCCAAGACCAATTACTGTCAATCCTTTCCAGCCTATAGCATCTGTAATAATGGAGGTATGAGTTGGTGCCAAATGTGATTTTTAAAAATATATTAAATTATAAAGTTGATGTTGTGAAAGGAGGAAGAAAGGAACAGTTAGTCAGTTTTCCATCACTGTGACAAAATACCTGAAAGTGACAAGTAAAAGGAGGAAAGTTTTATTTTGGCCCATGGTTTCAGAGGTTTCAGTCCATGGTTAGCTGGCTCCATTGTTTCTGGGTCTTTGTCAAGGCAGAATATCATGGTGGTGGGACATGGTAGAGCAAAGCTGTACACCTCATGGTGGCCAGGAAGCAGAGGGAGAGATCGATCGAGAGGAAGTGGCTGGGGGCAAAATACACCCTTTCAGAACCACCCCTACCCCCAATCCTTCCCCCTGCCAGTGACCTGCTTCATTCATATAGCTTCCACCTCTGCATAAGCCCGCTGAACTATTAAATTATCAGTAGATTAATCCACTTGATGAAATTAGAGCCATCATGGCCCAGTCACTTTCCAAAAGCCCACCAGCTGGGAACCATGCCTTCAACACAATGAGCATCTTGGGGGATATTTTGAATCTGTCGTAACACAGAAAATAGAATTATTTCTCCAAAGAGATTATTTCTAATGAAATTAAAGGTGAGAGACTGATTGAATATTTATTACTTTATTCCCCCTTTAAATTTTACTTTGGGAACTGGAGATGAAAAGCACCTGCCTAGCATGCATGCAAAAAAATAAAAAATGAAAAATAATTTTAAATAACATTGATATAGTGTATAAAATGAACTAAATCTTCAAAATAAATTAGAATGAAAAATACATGTTGAATGTTGGAGCAGTTATTTCAGTTACTGTTTTAATCTATTCTTGTCATTTTTTTCATATAGTAGTAATATATTAGTCTTATTTACATTGTCTTTGTCCCAGTATTGCTGTTACTATCCCTTGTAATAATATTTAGGTGCTTGCAATGTGTTAGAGTACATAAACAATTTTAAACTGCAGTAAATGTTCTTGTATCTGAATATAGGAAATTTATTTTAATTTTGATTATCTCAGGTTTTACAAGATTAATTTGTAGATTTTAATTATGAAGAAGCTAAGCAGTGTGTGTGTGTGTGTGTGTGTGTGTGTGTGTTTGTGTCTTTATTTTCATCTGGGGCCCAGGGTTTGTGTTGGCTTTGCTTTCATCACTCTCAGTGGCCAAGCCTCCTTTGAGGCAGGGCTTCCTAAGTCTGTTCCCTTCACACAGAGCTTATTGTGGATGCAGGCTGGCTGGTCCCGCCTGTGTTCTCTGCTTCTCTTCCCCTGTCACGGCCTCCTTCCATATAGGTGCTTATCTGGAAAGGTGAATGATTGCTTCTTCCTCGGGGCTGATGTTGAGGGAGGCACCTCTGTGGGTAAAAAGATGATGAGATAATTTTGATATTGCTTTTCTGCAAAATAATAGGTAATATGGGATATTTAATCTTAAGTTGCTCAGCTATCTGAAGATTATTTTATTAGCCCCATTGAATTTCCTCTAATATGTGCTTTTCTAAGTAAAGCCGTCTTAATAGCATGAACTATTGTCTCCATACTATCAAATACTGTCAAGTTTATAAAACTTGACAAGTATATAAACCAGTTATTTTTAATTCATTAAGTTTATTTGTACATTTTAGGTATACAATATGATGATATTCGTCATTGGAAATTTGTACCCTTACATGACGTATCTTGGTTCTTAATTTTTCCCCATTCCCGTGTCCTCCCTTCAACCCTTCCCCCCCTCCCTAATTACAAAGACTTTGTTTCCTTTTTTTCCTTTTCTTATATTCATTCCGTTCTCTTCTTTCCTTTCTCCTACCCCTTCTACTTCCCCTTCCCCTTTGGACCTTTTCTTTCTATTTCACATTATCTATTATACATTTTGATCCTCATTTACACTTTTGGTTTCTCACCCAGAGAAACTATTCAATATTTACACATGTATGTCCTATTTATTTCACCTAAGAGTATGGTCTTAAAGTGCATCCTGTAGTCTGGTGCAACCACTGTGGAAATCATTATGGAGATACCTCAAAAAACTAGGATTAGAGGTCCCATTTGACCCAGCTATTCCCCTGTGGGGTACCTTCCCAAAAGAATTAAAAGAATCACACCACAATGATATATGTGCACCCGTGTTTGTAGTGGCACAGTTTGTAATAGCTAAAACTTGGAAACAGCCCAATTGCCCATCAACTGGTGACAGAATAAAGAAGATGTGTGTGTGGTTTTTATTTTATAAAATGGAGTACTACTCAGCCATAAAGAATGAGAAGCTAGAGACATTTATAAAGTGCAGTTATTTTATAGGACTACCATGTGTAAAACTTACCTAGAAGGCCGTAGTGCTTCTTCCAGCATCCTATTTTTCACAATTTGAGGAAGAGAACAATATTGGTATAAAGCATAGAATACCATATATTGAAGGTCTATAAATTAATTAGTGTTATAGGGAGAATACAATTATTCTTCTTCGAAATTATGATAATTTTAAGAAGATGGTCACTCAGTAATGAAAACATTACCTATAATCTCTTTTTACCATGAAGAATCTTGTTTTCCACAAAATTCTTTTGGTATGTTTGCATTCCTCACAATATGTAATATTCATTTGATTTTTACCATAGCTACTAAAATAGTAAAGTATTATGAAGAATTGGTTCCAGACTAGACAGATAAAGGGAACAAACAGTAATAAATCTAATTATATAGGAACATATAATATAAAATAAAAATATGTCAAATCTGAGAGAAAAATATTGGAAGTGAACAACCATTTAGAAAAATATACATTACTGTGCATTGTGTGGCAAATTAAACTCTAGAAGTATCAAAGACTTAAATATATATAAATATATATTTGAAAGGTAGGCTTAAAAATGCTAATAGTATAAATATTAACATAGGCTGAGAGGATGAAAACTTTCAAAGATAAACCAGAAATCATAAAGTGAAAAATGGATAGATCATATTGTATTTAATTTTAAAAGTGCTGTTTTACAAAGTTAAAAGGAAAACATTAAAACAAAGCCAATCGTAGTAAAAAAATGAAACACATAGGATGTATAATCTGCTATAACTATGTAACTAGACCTAATGATAATAAGACAAAAGAAAAAAGAAAATTCTTACAAATTACTACAAAAGTAAATAGAAAAATGCATACCGGTTAGCACAGACAAAAGGGGGAAAATGGCAATAAGGGTATTTAATAATTCATTTTCCCTAGTGATAAAATTTTTAATTAATTAAATTAAAACAACACTAATTTAAATATTTGTTAGTTTACCAGAGATATGAAAGGTTAATAATGGTGTGCAGCATTGAAAATGATTTAAAGAAATATAATTCTCCCAACCTTTGCCTGAGGTATAAATTTATTCAATTTTTTCTTGAAGATAGAAGTGTGATTATATGTCATATTTTAAAATGTAGCAACCCTACTGATTCAATATTTTTACTGTTAGGAATTTAATATTAAAAATTAAAGAGAACAATATTTCTTACAATACTGGAAAAATTAGAAATCAGAATTCCTTGCTTATTGTAAAGGAATTAGTATAATAAGATAACCATTTCAAATGTTAATATAATTGTTGAAAATAATAGCAATGAACACTTATTTTCTATATATGAAGAACTGTTCTAAGCACTTCATACATTCACTGGCATGGAAAGAAACACTATTCTTAAAAACTTAAATTCTTTTTTGTTTAAACAAATATGTATATATAGAAAGACAGTCATACACTTATACATGTTTGTGGGTGGTGTATGTCATGTACATTTGTGTTAAAAGGCAGAAAAAAAACCTCATAATGATTACACACTGAATAGTGGTCATCTCTAGGTTGCGAAGTTACTGGTAACATTTGTTTTCTTTCTTTGTACTTTTTGTGTTTACTGAATATTTAATAGCATTGATACATTCAACAGTAATTTTAATAGAAATATCACAGTGCCTTTGAAATCACAGTATGGTCTAACATAAACATTCTTAAAGTAGTATTAGGTAAATGATGTTAAATTGATGTTAGATGTTTGATATAACCATTATACATTATAATAAAGATGTTATATTTCATTTTATTTAGAATGAAAAGAAACTTGAAAAAGAGAAAAAGAAGCAAATGATGGAGAAAGATAGTGATATTTGTCCCCTGAAACAGAAAATGGAGCATGAACAAATAGAGACACAAACCCAGACTAGTGAAAACAGCCAAAAAAACAATGAGTTTGAAGTAGTAGAAAATTATAAGGAGGCATTAACCAAGCAGTTGGAGAATAAAGATGAGACAGATTGGCGATCTTCAGAATCAGGTGAAAATGTATTTAAAGTAACATATATATGTAGTCATTTATCATGTTTATTTCCACAAAAATACTGTAATTTTTTTGTCTCCAAATGCATTATCTTGATTTTCTCAAGATCTGTAGTTACTCATTAACCAGTTTTCTCCTAATGCATTTTTCTGTGTCAGCTTGATATATGGTCCTTTATAAAAGAATTCAGAAAATTCAGTTTTGAAAAATTTGAAATACAGCCTAATTTCTAGGATTTCCTGGGATTTATTTAATTTTTAAGCCTTTGTTGTTATTTGTTAAACTATTTAATATTAAAGCTTGCATCACTTTCTTTATTGTTTGTTTCTATAAGATTTAAACATCATGAAAACATTTTCAAAATCTTGTCAAGGGCTGTGACGTATCTCAGTAGTAGAGCATACGCTTAGCAAGTACAAGGCTCTGAGGTCAATCCCAAGTACACACACACACATACACACACGCACACACAAATAGCTATCAAATAGCCATTTTCCTTTATTTTAATACTGTATAAAATTTGCATTGCAAAACTTTTTTAACTGCCGATGTGCCTTAACAATGTTCATATGTGCTGGTGTCATGGGAGACTGTGTTTGGAATCAGAAAATCAGGTATAGAATCCACTTACTAGATATACATTAAGTGATATAACAGCAGTTCCCAACTTTTGTAGCACCAGGGATGAGTTTTATGGAAGGCATTTTTTCCATGGACAGAGTGTGAGTGGAAGGTGAGGGATGGGATGATTCAAGCACATGTTTATTGTGCAGTTTATTTTTGTTGTTACTACATTGTAACATACAATGAAATAATTATATAACTCACAGTGGTGCAGAATCACTAGGAGCCCTGAGCTTCTTTTCTTGTAACTAGACCATCCTATCTGGGGGTGATGGGAAAACAGTGACACCTGAAGTGTGTTGGTTTTTCAGTCTACTCCAAAATCTTGTTTTGGTTGCTGTCACTGTAGAAAACCTTTCTTGACAAAGATAGGATATAGGAAATGGAAGCAGGTTTTCCAGTGTTTTTGTGGCAATCTCAGGATATTCTACCTTGACTGTAATCCAGAATGTATAGAGGTTTGAGGTTGTCTCAAACACAATTTTTTTTTTTTCAGTACTAGGGATGGAACCCAGGGCCTCCCACATGCTAGGCAAGTGCTCTACCACTGAGCCACACCTCAAACATACTTTTAAGGTCGCCATCATTTTCACTTTGAAGCAATTGATCCTCTTCTAGCATGAAGTCACTTCACCTGGCTTATTGACAAATGGGTCGTGGGTGCATTCCTGCTGTGTTCAGAGTTATTTTGTGGTTAAGAAGTAATATTCAAACTCTTTTGAAAGCCAAGATAAGTGATCATATTCCAGCTAGAAAACAGAAGGCCCTGGTTCAGTCTCTCAAAAAGCTCTGCTAATGTATGAAACATGTCAGAAATCCTAATGTTCACTCATTACCCTCATAACTCCAGTTTGACTTTAAATGCAGGCACTTTATGTGCCAACTTGAATGTATTTGTTGTTCTCCCCTGAAGTGACAGATTGAGATCCTTGAGCAGGTTCAATATGTCACATAAGTAAGCAAGTTTTGTGGCTCATTCTGTGTCACTGAAATGTGCTCCAGTGATTGCTGTTTTCCTAAAAGATATCCCTGGAGTGGCTTTCATAAGTCAAAAACTCTGGCCAGTATTCCACCTTTAGAAAGCCATCTCATTTCTGTGTATAAGAGAAGATAGTGTGCTTTGCATCCATCTCTTCACAGAGCTTCATGATGTTTGTGAGTTAAGTGCAAAGACTTAAATACTTTTGCAGCTCTGGTGTTGCTTGGCAACAAAAGTACACATAATATATCTTCATGCACATCCTCCTGAAAAGTGTATTACACAAAACAAGCATTTTTGCTTATTATCTACACCAGTAGACTCATCAAAATGGATTGTCTACCACAGTGACTCAGTAATTCTAACAATTGTGCCTCAGTGTCTTCCAGTATTTCATCAAATTGTGTGGTTATGGTGCTGGCTGAAAGAGGAACAGGTACTATCTTCTGAACAGTAGCTTCTCCTGAAAGTTCCTGACAAATGTCCTTGGCATAAGGCAGGATTAACTCTTACCAATACTAAAGAGCTTCTTAGTTTTAGCTACGTGGTTATCCACTAAGAAAGGTGCTTTCTGTGCAGAGACATTTGATGAAGTTGTGACCTTCAATAATTGCTTTTGTTCTTCATCTTCACTGTTTTTGTTTTTGTTTTTTTTTGTCCTTTGCTGTATTCCAAAGGCTTGTCTTTTAATGCTTAGACTCCATATGGCAAATAAATTTTGAATATTTCATGGCTTTGTTGGATTACTGATGGGAACATACTATACAGGGCATGCTTGGAGAATTTGCATTACTACTTACAAGGAACCCTCATAATTTAAATAAGACTCTTGGTATTTTCTTTTCAATACAGATTTTGTATTTTTGGCATCTTTAGTATCTTCTGCTGTCTCATCACCGGGCTCTCTCTCTCTCTCCCTCCCTCCCTCCCTCTTTGAACAGGGTCTTGCTATGTAGTTCAGGCCAGCCTTGAACTCACATGTAGCCCAGGCTGGCCTGGAACTAATGGCAGTCATCCTGCCTCAGCTTCCCAAGTGCTGGGATCATAGCCATGTTCCACCACACCTGAATATCTTGCCTTCTTTTCAAAGAAGCTGTCCAGTTTTTGGCTAGACTAGTTTGTGGGCTTAGAGACTGAGAGAAGTGTGTGGGTAAATAAAATAATGGGCAGGTCTTGTGCAGACTAAAATAGCTATCAAATTCTAACATAAAGGCAGCCATCCTGTCCAGCTGTACAATTGAAGTACATCAACTTACTATAAAGCCTGCTGCCGTATGCAGCTTGTCACTTGCCACTCACTGAAAGGTTTTTGATCAGAGTCTGCAAGCAATTTATTTATTATGATCTCTGTGTAGTCAAACCTCTCTTTTAATGTTTATCTGTATTTGCAGTCACTCCCCAGTGCCAGCTTCACTGCCTCAGCTCTCCCCAGATCACCAGGCTTGAGATTCTCATAAGGAAGGAGCACACAACCTAGACCCGTGGCATGTGCAGTTCACAGTAGGCTTCGAGCTCCAATGAGAATCTAATGCCACCACTGATCTGACGGGAAGCAGAGCACAGGTACTAATGTAAAGGATGGGAGCAGCAGTGAATACAGATGAAGCTGTGCTCGTTTGCCTGCTACTCGCCTCCTGCTGTGCAGCCTGGTTGGGGACCCTTGTAATATAACATTGTTCAGATTTAGTTTCTTCATCTCTAAAATGGGGTAAACATCATCTTTATTCACAGGGCTTTTAAGGTTACTTGTAAAGTAACTACAATATTCCTTCCAGAGAGGATGGGCCCAATAATTACTCCCTTGCCATTCCTATTTAGTGATATAGCTCCATTGTATTTAAGGATTTTTTCAAGTATCCTAGGGTTCATGAAAATAAATTCTCAATCCCTGTGTTGAAGTTAGCCAACCTCAATATTTTGCTGAATGATAAATATATTTGAAGTTATTCTTTTTGTTAAATAAGAAATTAGAACAGCCATTTTAATACCCATATAACTTGCCATGAGCAGGTAAAAGAAGATTGCCTTAAGATAGTATTCTCTTTAGTTTGTAAAACGACTCTAACCCTGACACATTGTTAAATATAAAGGCATTCAGCAAATGATTTTAAAATATAAGATAGGGAGATCTGAGGTAGTAAGTCATGTAACCACAATCATACCATTATATTTTATACTTTAAAGCATCCCTTTAAGGTTCATTGCATTATTTAATACAGCATCATAGTATTCAACACAGCAATCCTGGGGCATATTATTTCCATTATATATATGGGAAACCAGGGACTTAGAGAGGTTGGATAACTTAAGATTGTATGTTTTTACTGTGGTTGGGCTGAAAATCAGGTCCAAATCTTATGTTCCATGATCTATACTCTTCAATGATCCTGAGCTGCTGCTGATCGTAAAATATCATGTGGTTTTGGAGTTCTCCTTTCATTCTCCCAGCTATAAACTACAACTCTAATCAGAAAAGATTGCTCTATTTCTACCTAGAGTGAGATGTCTCAAATGACACTAACTTGTTTAGAAAAATAATTTGTTTCTAAATATATTTGTATTTCTTACTGCTTTATAGGCTTCACAGATGTTGACTCTTATGTTCTGTGTAACTCATTTTAGAAAGTATATATATATATGTGTGTGTGTGTGTGTATATATATAATGTATTACATATCAAGTTAGCCATCCATTAAATATTTACTCTTAGTAAATTCAAGTTCACATTTGGTTATTGATAGCATTTTCCAACGAAGATGTTTCTGTAGTAATAATATCAGTATTCTCATTTTATCCTTTGTTTTCTATCTTAGAAGTTCACTTCTTCCTGAAGATATAATGTTTTCTATTATAAAAAAATTTCACTTTTCCCCAATGGTATTAAATTCTATATTTATATTATTATAGGTAACAGTAAAAAGAAAACTAAGAAACTAAGAATGAAAAGGAGTCACCGAGTAGAACCAGTTAATACAGATGACTCTGCTCCTAAGAGTACAACTCCACCTCCTCCCCGTCCTGGTGAGTAAATTGATATACTACATTTAGTAATATGACTTTAAACAATAAAGAAAAAAAGAAAAAGAAATAAATTGTATAGTTTTTATTTAGTGTATTATTTTCTAAATCTATGACAATCATTCAGTTTTTCTACATGTAAAATTTATCAATGTAAGTATCATTATTTATAATATAAAATAAAAAGATAAAATTATTAGGGAAACCTTACCCAGTAATTCTCAGAATATGTTGAAGTTCAATTTGAAATAGCAATACCCAGTTTGCTAAAAGGAATTTAAATTTATTGGATGGATTGCTAATGTTAACTTTTAAAATTTTGGACCTCTCATCCTTGAGGTCACCTAGATACATGAATTTTCCCAATATAAATCCAACATACATGCCCACCTCCTGTTACATGGATTAAATTGAGTAATGCACATAAACTAGTAGGTCATCATTACACAATACTTATTATAGGTGTTCAGTAGATAGATACTTGATGACTAAATTAGTATGTTTTTAGTGTCCTTTTAGCCTGACTGCAGGCTTTAGACAGTAATATTTTCTTTTAGGAATTTTTAAAAGACCCATTTCGAGTATCCCATTTAATAAAACCATAATAAAACCATTTCTTTCAGCCTCTGCTATGGGTTAGAATAGTAACATAAAGCTTATTCATGATGATAGTGAAAGGGCTTATTTATATTTTTAGTTAAAGGTGAATAAGAACTTAAAGTAGATGTTAGCAGCCTATACATTATTTATATTTTGAAGTAGAAACCATTTAAAATGGATTTGTTGCTGTTCAGTGTTGTGTCATTTAGAAAATTTGAATTAACTCTGAATTTTATATATACTTCTTGTCAAAGGAGGGATCCTCTCAACAATCTTAAAGAGACATATGTTTAACAGTGTTTTACGTGTTTTTCTTTTTCTTTAGTTGGCTGGGGAACCCCCAAAGTCACCAGACTTCCAAAACTTGATCCTCTTGGTGAAACACGTCATAATGGTAATGCAAAAGGATTCATTTTCAAACACCACATGTACATATACATCCATTTTTATTTACTTCATAACTTCAGCAAACAATATTTTATTTTTGAAGCCTTTTAAATCTACTGCCATCCTTTTTAATATACTTTTTGCTTTATTCATTTAAAAAATTTTTCAATATATTTTGCATCTATATAATTTGATTTTTATTTATTTTAGGCTATAAATATAAAAGAATCACACTTGTGCCTATCCTTACTAAACTTATGTAAATACATATGAAAAGGGGAAAGGAGGACATTAAATTTAAATATGAGACATTAAAATTACATTTACAGTATTAAAAAGAAAACCTGTATGGTCCTGCACATATACATGATATACTCTGTGATAATGCCACACACATTTTTTTTCTTAGTAAGACAGATGCTGAACATTAAAATGAAGAAAAGACCAACAAAATCAGTAAAATCAGAGAATAAATCAGTAAGGCAAATACAGTTTAATTAAATGAAAATTTACTGAAGTCTTTCTTAAGAACACAATTCTTTGAGTGAAATTAACATCAGCTATAATCCAGCCAGTTGATGCCATTAGAACTCTAGAAAGCAAAAACTAGAGACCAGACATTTTGGAGTAATAGAGAACACCTTGTACAATAGAAGTTATGGACCACCAGTCTGGGTCTTTTCAATAAGATAAGATTTCTGCAAGGTGGGCCAGGGATTTAGCTCAGTGGTTCTGTCACCTGCTTCGCAAGCACAAGGTCCCGAGTTCGATCTCCAGTACCAAAAAAAAAAAAGATTTCTACAAGGAGAAAGAATAATTATATATCAATGTAGCTTACTAAACTTGTTTGTTCAAAATTTCTAATGACCTTTTTGATAGCTCTGTGTTAACCTACTCTAAAACTCTAAGTACCCTAAGGAGAGCACTTAGTAGGAGAAAAAAAATGTAGAACTTAGTAAAGCATTACTATATAATTTGATATTATACCAAACCCTATAAAATATTTTATTCAAATTATATAAATATAAGTGTACTATTTGCTCTTTTCAGAGCACTATAGGTGAATAATGTAATATTTCATTATAATTTAGTGAAAAGCAGAAGGTTTTTTTGTATTTCTAAAGATAGGCACGTTTGTCCTTAGAATGTATAAAAATTACTGATAAGGTTATTTCCATTAGAATTATGTATCTTTATTTGACTTACTGATTTTTTATTAACCATTTTTTATTAGTACATATTTGTCACACATATTGATAGCATTCATCGTCTGGAATTTCTACCAGTAAATAATATATCTTGATTCTTTTTTTCCCATTCCCCTTCCCTCCCTTGAATTTTTCTTCCCCTTCCCATTTACAGAAGCTTTGTTTCCATTTTTTTTTTCTTCTGTTTTTTTCCTCTCTCTTCCTTCCCTTCCTCCTGCCCCCTCCCTTGTTCCCCTTCCCATTTGGAAAGGTTCTTCCTACTTCTCAATATCTATCCTCCATTATGCTCCTTATTTACAGTTGAATTTCTCACATAAGAGAAACAATCTCATTATGTAAACTTGTGTGTCTAATTTAGTTCATTTAAGACTATGGTTTTGATGTTACTCATTTTTATATCATGATGTTTTTATTGACTGTAACAGGTTAGTTCCTGATTTATTATATAACTGAGTGAATTTATACATATATTTGAATATATTATGAATTTAAATGTAGTGTTAGAAGAAGCAAGCAGGATAATGTTAGTGTGTTTATATTTATATGTACAATCATATACATATAAAATAATTTCATATTACAGATTTTTTTCTCTTACTGAATTTATCATTCAGTAAGCACGTACTTTATATTTGACATCAGCTAACATATTTGTAATACTAAGATGAGTGAGACATACATTCTGCTTTTGTGGAGATCTTCATCTAAGGGAGAAAATAATACTTCAGCTTACTGTTGTGTCAGTGACAACAATCTGTGATGTAGAACCTTCTATGCTTAGACTGCCTGAGCAGTTAGAGAAAGTAGTATTAGAACTGGGCCTTCAAAGAATGAGAAGGAGTAGTAGAAGAAACAGACTATTTAAAGTAGAGAGGCAGGAAAGAATATTATTTATTTGGAGAATAGCATGTGACTGGAGATTAGGGTCATGTACATAGAATGGGTAAGAAAGAGAAAATTTTAAATTACAAAGAACATTGAAAATAGAATTCTAGCTTAGGGCCAGATTTTGAAGGTCTCACATATTTGTTAAGATGTATGGACTTTCTATAATTCTTAAGAGATAATATTTATTTTTAGCATGGAAAAAGTTGTATTAGGTTTGATGCTCAGGAAAGTAATTTTTGTTTAAATGTACAAAATATAGACTTGATGATGGCTTTGTTGAGGTAAGAATCCAAGTTATGAGGCTGTTGCTGTAATCCAAGAGATAAGGGATGGAAATTGAATAGAAAAAAATTATGCAAAGAATATTTTAACAGTTACAATAAGTAACATGTAGTGCATGAAGTGTGGATGAAGAGTAAAAGGAACAGAGCATAGTTTGGGCCAGAAGTTAGAAGTTTGATGCTGTCCCTAATATTGAGACTATGTGAGGAAAAAGGAAATCAATTTTTGAGAGATACAGATTTCTTTAGGCTTATCTGTTTAGAAATGTCTGAGTGGCAGTACAGGTGAGATTCAGGTGCTGAGGAGAAAAGAAGGGGCTCAGGTCAGTGGGTAGGGGAGGATTTGTAGGTAGCTCCCCTCAGCCCCAGCAGTCACCACATTATAGGAGTTCTTTGCCCATACAGGTACACTTTGTTTTACTGACTGAACACAGTTGAAGAAATGATAGCTTGCTGTTCATGAGGGAAAGAATATACGAAGAGACACAAAGAATTCATGGTGACATTCAAGGGAAAAATTACAATTAAAGACAATTTGAAAAAAAAGGTAGAAAATGAACTAAAAAGAGTTTCCTCTAACCTCACTTTTCTGTGTTTGTTTTTAAATGAGAACTCCCAGGAAAGACTTATAATAAAATAGTTAATAATAAGACTTATAATAGACTTATAATAAAATAGTTAAGTTTAAGCTACACTCTTTTAACATTTTAATTAATTTTCATCATATCAAATTTTAGCTTCTCAGTACACAGACAATACTATACCTTCACAAATTTTTAAATAGCTTTATTAATTTTTCAGTAAATTTTAAGTCAAGTTATATTTCATTTGGGGTTTAAAATATGTAGTCAACTCTTTGTTAATTGGGGAAGAAAGCACATGTAATAAATTTAAATTGTTAATATAAAAAGTTTGTATTAAGTAGTTTTGGAAAGTTATAAGGAGACATTCATGGGATAATTGCATCCTTTTCTTTTTCACATTTATTTGCCTTTGTATGTATAAGCATGTTGATAAAAGGTTGATGGCAAGTAGCCAACAAATATATGATGAAGTAGCATATAATTAAGAATCTACTCCAGTTTCCCCATAAATTTCCCCAAAAGGTCAACATTGAACCAAGTTTGTGAACTGAGCTACCACTGTAGTTTGGTAGTTAAAACATGCTGAGTTGAAAAAGATCTTGCTAACGTTAGATTGGGACTTTTTAAGGCAGGTTCTATACTTTGATTATAGACATTTACTTTAGTAACAATTTCACCTACTTCTCTAATAACTTTTATAGCCTACAAAATTTGCTCAGTGTAGCAGGCGAGACAGATGCTTCAGAGAGACTTAAGAGATTGTGTATTTACCGTATGAACACTCTGAATCTGTATTTTATCAATGTTATGTATTATGTATTGCACTTTATGAGAAATTAATCAACACTTCTTCTAGATGCAAAGAATGAATATGCAAACTAAAGAATATTTTTAAATCTTAAAATTATGAAAGAAGATAAAATGTTTTGTATAATTTTACTGGTCCTCAATTTTCAGGTTAAAAAAGTTTGAAGATCTTTATAAAAATGTGTTTTCCCAATTAAGTTAGTCATTTTAGTTGGGTACCCTGATCAACAGTATCTTCTATGATTGGGGCAATAAGAAGCCAATTTTTTATAGTATAATCCCATTTTGGGGGAAAGAAATAGTACAAAATCTCCTAAAATCAAACATTCCTTGAGAGGAAAAGAAAACAAAAACATTTTTTGCACATGGAGTTGATACATATTTTTTTACTAAAGTATTTTTAAATTCCAGAAGTAAAATCTGCGACAAAACATAATCACTCTGGGTTAATTATAAGTTCTATTATGTATTAAAATTCTCATTCATTTTGAACTCAAGAAATTAGAGGATGAATACTTTAAATTTATCAAAATAATTAAGTGCTTATTACCACTTTAATTATAACAATAGTAATAACTACCATTGGGGCTAAAAATTTTTAACTCTTCCAAATAATTGTATTAAATGAGCAACATTATCCACTTTCTGTTCATGAGGAACCTATACTCCAAGGTCATGTAGCTAAGAAGTGGCAGAACTAGGATTTAAACTTGGTTTGTCCAGCTTTGAAGCACATACATCTAACTCATGTTGTACTGTTACATTAAGATTTGTTAGGGCATCCCTGAAGCTTAATAGTTGCTTTGAATTAATAGTTGCTTTAAAAAAAAATTCTCTCCTAATACCTTTTTTTGGGGGGGGGGTGCTGGGGATCAAAGTTGGGACCTTGCGCTTGCGAGGCAGGCAGTGGAACCATTGAGCTAAATCCCTGGCCTCCCAATACCTTTTTAATATATTTATTTCAAATGATCCTGAACACCTATACTTCTAGAATAATCTTAATAGATCGAAAGTACTTATTGATGGTTTACACATGCCATTAAATTTAGAAGCCAATTTATGATGAATAAGGGATAGATATTTATTATAAAGGGCAAGACATTTTTGTATAAAATATGTCCCAAATCACTGAATTGTATTGATTCATTATTATAAGAGCCCAACTTGCTTCTCCTAAAATACCTACAAGTAACAGCCACTACATAAGAATATATGTCATGTGCAAATACTGATTTATCAAGGCCTTAGAAATATATTGTATAGATTTTAAATATTTTGAATTTGTTTGGTTCTAATGTGAATGTGCAATTGGAAACAAAAATAATAATGTATATATTCATTTGGTGCAACTTCTTAGTCACATACACTCTAGTTGTTCGGTTTTGAATTAATTGAAATTTTCTTCAATTGATTTTTTATTTTGCCTATCTTCTCTACCCATTGCTTCACTTAACAAGTTGGTATATGTCTTACTTTTTAAAAGATGGTTGACAATAATAGACTACGTCAAAAATTTTGATTACCATAACTATTTTGTGTTCTTGGTTTCCCTTGTTTGTGTAGATTTCTATGGGAAGCCTCTTCCTCCTCTGGCTGTGAGACAGAGACCTAATAGTGATGCTCAGGATGTGATCTCAAAACCGAGTCATGTGGATTAGCTCTCTTAACATCAGCAAGGTGAACTGGGACCTCTTTCTCAAAAGGAGAGAAACCTTGATCATTGATGACTAGGACCAGATTACCATAGTGATTTTCGTGAGAAGATTGATAGCCAAGGACTTATCCTGATAATTACTTCTCCACGTTGTTCATGGTTAAAGCAGAAAGGAAACTAAATGACAAATAGATGGGATGAGCATTTGGACCAAGTTAACAAGATGAAATTTTGACTTTGGTTTACACGTCCCCATTCATGGGCATATCCCTGAAGGAAAACCTCGTCAGAAAAAGGCAATGGACTCTGCATACTTTCTTTGTTTGCTATCCTGTATTTCTAAGTTAAACATTTTTAAAAGTGCATATCCATGGAAGGGGAACTCCTGGGAATTTATAACCTAGATTTTTGACTATTTTTGTATTTTTCTATAACTTTTAAAAAAATTACTGTTACATTGTGCACTTTTCTACAAATGTTTTATTTAAATTGTCTGGAAAATAGTCAGTGTACTTGACAGACATGAACTATATAAACAGAAATATTTTATGGCTCAAGGTATGTTTTGTAATAACATTATTTTTGAACTCTATATCGTAATTTGACTTTCAAAATAATACCTTTTAACACAACAGATTCTCTGATCTTTATTCTACCAAATTATACAATTTGAAAATATTACCCAAAGAGAGAGTTCAAATTTGTTTCTGTTGTTTGTTTACTTTGATAATAATCTCAATAAATTAGAGGCTTGATATATCTTTTTAATGTAATTTTTAAAAATTAATAAAGATATGTTCATGAGATATTATTAAAAGTCCCAATAAACTCCTGTTTTAAATGTCAGACACTTTCAGAGATCAGGTGCTTTCTGTCACTCCTTTGTTCTAATAGAACCCATAGTGACTCTTTTAGATTATTCTAATTCTTTCATGTATTGAAGTTAAAGGCAAAAAATATTGAAAAATATACTGCAGGGCCAGAGACTTGTATTTTACAAGTAGCTTGAGTACTAAAGCAATAAGTTGGCTCAAACACTTTTATAAAGAAATGATTCCAAAACAATTTCTCAACTTAAAACTTCTCTTGCTCTTAAGAATGACATCCATAGGATTCTTTATTCTGTTATTTTGGCAAATTATATATATTTTTAGTAATGGATTCATAATATTTATTTGACAGCATGCCTTTATATCCAGGTGAAAATCATATATCAAAATAATTTCTCTATCATTTTGTTAAGATTGGTGCATTTGGTACTGTACACAGATAGCAAACATACAGTGTTATCTGAGGATAACATAAACAAGTACGTCTGAGTTGTTTAATATGATTAAAATTTTTACTTTAGAGCATCACATTTTATTCACATGTTTTAACTGACTGGACTTTAAATCAGGCTCCTTTTTACTATAGTCCGCATGGTACAGTTTCTTGGAATTTGTACATGACCTATCTGGCACACTGAGCAAAATCATTCTACATCAGATGCAAGACAGATAACAATCCAAATTTGAGAAGTGATTGAAATGCCAGGGAAAGTATTACAGGAAGATACAATGTAAATTTTGAACTGGAATTTAGAGGAATAATTGCTCATCTTTTTGGTTCCTTTTGTAACATTTATATTATGCTGTTTAGTATTCATCTGGTTTAAAAATAAAGTTCTTAACATTTTTGTTTCCTACTAGTTTTTACTGTAATACACAATAATTACTGATTCTATTTAAAAATTTTAAAAATGGTTTTGAAATTAAATGTATTGTAAAATAGAATCAATGTTTCATATAGCTCTCAAAAATTAATTTGCTTTCCTGAAGTATTCTACAAATGCTTTAAAAGGTATTTTGTAAATCGAGGTAGATTTTAACAATTAATTGCCTATTTTGATACATACTACATTTTTATTCTTAATTATCTTGAATTATGACATTTTCACACAATAAAAATTATTTATATCAGTAGTTTTTCTTTTCATTCATTGGGTTTAAATCATTTTCTTTGGATAATAAGTAAAGATTTTTAACATGATTGTTAATAGGTGAATCAGTAGAATAATGAACTTATTTTCATGAAAAAGATTTTGTGCAAATATATATATATAAATAATTGAGAAACAATGTTGTGATTTTTAAAGGCAGCTAAATATAGCATCATAGCCCCTTATGATTCTAGATGGTCCATTGTCTTGTCTTTTGTTAAAGCTACTGGCTAACATATTTTTACTTATTTAAAAGATATTTCTGTGAGCTCCTATTAGAAAATTTGTACGTGTATACTACATATAATACTACATGTAATTGATGCCAAGTATCAAACTACACATAGAAACTACACTAGAAATGTTGCAAAATGCTAGTGATCTTTTTTAGAGTTATTGGTTCTGTTTTTCTCCATTTTTGAAATAGTTTTATAATTTGGTGTATTTTTATAACAGGAAAATCAAATTTCAAATTTTATATAAATTATTGAAGCGCAGTGTTTAGTGCAAAGTTTGGCTCTTTTAAATGCTAAATTAAAATCTATAATTTACTTAATATGTAAAATTCCCTGCCGATACTTAGGAAAAGTTCACACATACAATATACCATTATATTTGCAGCTTGTTTTTCATTGTTCTCTTACTCTGACAGTATTTTGATGTGATACTGTTTGATATGCCATGTTACTCCTGATATTCATTTCTCCTTTTCCAACTAAGCAAATCCATGCTTTCAGCAAAGCTTTTCAAAAGTGAAGTTGCTTATAAAAATAAAGCTGTAGGTAATAAATTTGATCATCTTAGGCTGTAATGCCTAAGTTCTTCTTTATGTGGAATATATTTTCTTACTAAGGTTTTGCTAATACTGATTAATTTTATCAAGAAACATATTATAGCTGACCAAAGAACAAATTTAGGTATTTCAGAACTTACATTGATGTGTGGCATAGGTCATTAAAATAACAATAATTCTTTAGCTTTGGAGAAACAAATAATAGAATCGCGATTTGTTTTTCAGACAAAAATAGGAAAATAAGAAATGAATTTCCTCTAGAGGAGGTAATCAACTTATAAATAAAGAGAAAATAGGGAAGAAACATTCATTTGCTTGTTTAGTGCATGAGTTATAGATTCCTTTTATGTACTATTGAAGAAACAGGATTTATGACCCAGCTAAGTGAATTAGTAGATGCCAAAATTTTATAATATATCAGTGAGAAATTTTTAATACACATTTATACTTCGGTTATATTAGTTTTCTAGGGCTGCCATAACTAAGTACCACCAGATTGGGTGAATTAAACAACATAAATTTTCTCAGTTCCAGAGAGTGGAGATCCAAGATCAAGATGCCCCCAGGTTTAGTTTTTCCTAAACCCTCTCACTTTAGGCTTATACACGGCTGCTGATTTACTGTGTCCTCACATGGCTTTTTCTCTGTGCTCTTGCCTCTAGTGTTTCTCAGTGTGCTGATTTTCTCATTTTAACCTAACCATCTTTTTGAAGGCTGCATCTCCAAATATACATTCTGAGATACTGGGGATACAGATTTGGGAGCAACAAATTCCATACCTTAAGAATTACATACATGTTTTGTATAATGTACATTTTACCCCCTAAATAAAGATATTGAAAATATTATATGAAACTAAAAGTAGAAGTAGTATATTTACTCCCCCATTGCAGTAGATTGTCTATTGGAGTTTGTATTCTTCATTTGGATCCCTAAACTAATAAGAGCCTTACCTGACATAAAGTCCAAGATTGCCTAAAACTATGCTGTGTTCCTACCAGTGGTTACTGCTTTCTCTTATGTTCTCTGCCATATATTTTAAGGAGCTAAAGGATCTCTTGAGTTCAGATTGTTTTACTACAGAGCCTGTCCTTACCTTTTGGGAGAGCAAAATATACCTCTGCCTAAATTACAGGGTTTTGAGATATGTTTTATGTAAACATGAAACAGCTAATTAGGAGATGGTCCATAAAGTGCACTTATTCAGAAATACCCCTTAGTTCAACTGATTTCACCACAGAGATGCTTAGTTTGATAAAACTTTTCTTGCCTAGAGAGGTCCTCGTCAATAATGCCAATTGATTCTTTAACATCACTAAAAAACTAATGTAATTTCTGTTTATGTAAGGTTTGTTTTTAATTTCATGTCTTTAGTGGCTTAAAACAAGTCTACTAGCAGTTTTTATTTCTAAACAGGTAGAGCTTTATTTTTCAGTAGCTATTTGCAGTGGGAGGCAAATGTATTTAGGTTCTCATGATACACAAATACTGGTTCTAGATAAAGGGCTTAGACAAAAAAGGTCAAACTGAAAAAGAGGGAGGATGAAACAATTGGCTTCCATTGTAGGAGGTAAGTTACACACTTGAGAGCAATGGAATCAATGAAACGACAGATGTTGTATTGCAACTTAAAGTGGCTTCACATTTAATGTTAAATTGTTTTAAGAGAAACTGAAAAAGTACTTCCAATGTGACATTGCCGATTCTCTAATAAGACTAAGACACCTACAGATAAGTGTATGTACAGGTAATTTACAAAAGAAACATTGGTAATAATCCAAACTAGGTACATACTTAACCTATTTTAAGATTATCAAAAATGCGGACAAAAATTTGTGAACAAAATTGTTTATTTAAAATCATAAAATAGAGCTTTGCTGAGGCACAAAATATGATAGAACTAGTGATCTCTTCCTATGTATAACATGGTACTTCCCTAATAGAAATATAGCACGTTTCTTACTTTATTATTTATGTCTACATTGTAAATAAAGTATTAATTCATTAGTTGTTACATTTTGTAATGAACATTAAAAAATAAACCTTAATGGAATCTCTGCAAGTATAAAGGCTAAAGTTAGACTAGTGACTTTTCCCCAAACGTGCAGTTAGTAACATCAGTAATCTTTTTACTCCTGAATACCATATTATCTTCTGCACCAAAATCTAAATTTAAGTAAGATGCATTTTTAGAGTACTGGGAAACTTGTTTAAATATATTAAGCTTTAAATCTTAGTGATAAACTCACTTATCTTTTCATATGGTTAATACACTTGGAACTTTGTAGATATCTATGGATCTAGTGTGAGCATCAAGGCCCAATTCAAAAGGATATCAGGGACTACAATAATGTTCTCTAATTACTGATGGGTGCTACAAGGGAGTAAATAAAGAATAACACTAAAAGTGCGAATGAACTGCTATTCTTATCAGAATGGGTGTAATAAACATTTTTCTGAGGACTACTAACACTGTCTTGTAGAAGTGAATGGGGAGGCTGGCTTTGAGCGTCATTTTGGTCCTCAGTCATTTGGTATCAAAACATGGTGATAAAATGATCCTGACAGTGTAAGTAGCACACATCAGGGAACAGAAACGCATTTACTGTCGTCTAGTATCCATTCACTTTTATATTTCAATTTAATCTTTTAACATTTCCCAGTTTTACAAGGAGAGATTATCCCCGTGCTTCGTCCTAGAAAAAAACCTGATTTTTTTCATCTCCTTTCAAGAGTCTAGGGGGTCGACAGATTTGGCAAATTAACTACCTTCGCCTTTGAGTCTGAAACGTTGAAAAAACAGCCTACTAGAGACAGTCCCATTTCTTATCGAACCTATGCAAACAGAGACAGTTCAGCATGATGAGTTACGTAGTCTCTAAAGCCCAGCCGCCCAAAGTCCGTCCAGGGGCCCTGCCCACGCCCCGACAGTCTGTGCCTGCCTAACCCACAGCCCCGACAGTCCGTGCCTGCCTAACCCACAGCCCCGACTTTAAAAACATCTGTTTCCGCCTGCTACGCGAGCGAGGCTCCGCGAGCACTCATCGCGAGACCTTAGCTTTGTGGCGAGATTTTGAGAACGTAGGTAAAGTAAATCTCGCGAGAATTTCGACAGGATAAGCGTAAACTTGCGCAATGGTCGGCTAATGCCGGAAGTCTACTTGTTCGGAGGCTTTTGCTGTCTGGTCGTGTAGAGCAGTTGTATAGAAGTTTACTGGAGGATAATGCTAACTCGGGTGAGGCCCTGGGGCCTGGCTGCGCGCCTCGGACCGAACCAGTTCGCCACGCGGCCGTGGAAGCGAGGGAGGGCCCTGGAAGGGAGAGGGGTTCTTTTCTTTCTTTTTTTGCTTCACTGTCCAGAACCCTGCAATAATGTTGAGCACCCTGATTCGTTGCTCTTGAGTGTTCCCTGTAGTTTTCTCCTAAGGACACCCCTGTATCCCCCAAATAATTGGTTCCGTCAACCCAGCCCACAAACTTGGAACGTCTCACTTCAGGGTCTAACATTGCGTAAGCTCCCCGAGCTTTCAGGCTTTGCCTTCTGTGTCACTGTTGTACCCTACTGTTAACATTTTTCTTCGCCCTCGAGACACTTTTCTTGAATAAATGAACCAATTGCGAAGAGTTACAAGAAGAAGCTAGAAATAGAAATATTTTTTTCTAAATAAACTTCAAATTTTAAAAAAATTTTTAGGTTTACTGAACATTTGAGAAAATAAGATAGTTCAGAGTTCTCATGTTCCTTTCACCAAGTTCACCTTACTAGCCACATTAATCCTGGGTACTTAAAAATAAGTTCTTTTTATAACTTCTTCACTTTAGTACCGCTAGATTCTGTTTTAACCTTTGCTTCATGGACGGTATTGGAAAAAACTTTTTGAATAGTGTCAATAATACAGTTTTATTACAAGTAGGGTATTGGTCCCATTGCAGAAACATAATTACGGAAAAAGTTCTTTAAAAATAGACTGTGCTAATGTTGGAATTCAATAAATTTGTAATATCAAAGTGTGTCAGCAACTTTTTCTTACTGTCATAGCTGAAAGCAAAATCGGAAGGGGAGCTTGCAAAACAGATTTGCAGAGTTGTGTTGGATCATTTTGACAAACAGTATTCTAAAGAACTTGGAGATCCCTGGAATACAGTAAGGTTAGTATAATTGATATCTTGGTAATTTAAGATAAAAGAGTGGAAGTAAAGTAATACACCTTTTTGGGGGGAGGAATACAGCGAAGATAAAAGCTACAGGAATCTAAATGTGGCTGCCGTTCCCACTGGGGCTATGGAAAAGGAGAAATAAAAGGAAATGGATTTAGTCACTGGATAATGGAAAGGGGAGAAATTTGTAGAGATAGTAAGCAAAGTTACTATGCCTTTGTTGGGAGCACTTGCTTTCATACACAAGACAGGCTTCCCCACCAGTTTCACAAAATTAATTATACTATAACATAAAAATCATCAAAGTTTGAGGAATATTTTAGTAGTTCCTAAAATTCAGAAAATAATACAAGTATTTAAAGTCAACACTTGTTTATCTTCTCTAAGTTATACTTTAGTAATCATTTCATGTTATGTCTATGGTTAGCTATATTATGAACAAGTATGTGCAGGTTCATACATTCTTTAAATGTATTATACAAATAAAAGTTTATTGCAAAAAAGCAAATGAGAGAAATTTGATGAGTATATTTTGTGAGTTTTGCTGTTAACGGTTGTTATTGTACGGACTCTTGACATTGAGTGCCAGATACAGTACTGTATATACAATGCCCCTTGAATAATTAGAGCAAGACAGTCTCATGTCTAGTTTGCAAATAGTCTAGTGTTCATAGGGATTTTAACAGAAGGGCATGGTGTAAACTATAAACTGATAAAATTTGCTAAGTGTTACAATAAAAGTGGGCAGGAGTACCTCGCTATGTCTGTCAAAGTCTGAGGTGCAAGTGAAGTGCTGAGGAGAAGCCAGTTCTTGGTGACTTACAGCAATTACCTGGGCAAGAGAAAACATATTCTAGGCTGAGGGAAGAGTGCACTGCTGGGGAAGTTGCAGACCAAAGGCCCTTAAAACAGTTACATGGCTGTAGATAATATCTGGAAATTGTTTCAGGCAATAATTTCTCAGATGGTTGTCTTTTTTCCCATCTCGCCTGTTAATAAGTATTACTCCTTCAGAAAGGACAGTTATGAGCGTTGATGTTAGGTGTTTCTGATGTAGATACAGGACAAATTAGGTTAATTGGGAAACTCAAACAGTATAATAAGAAAATGTATATAGCTTTTATTTTAGAATAGTTTCAAAGTGCTTATCTTCTATCACAGAATGAATAGTGAAGTGTATAAGTTAATGAGAATTTAAGTATGTAAAGGTACTCAGCTGGAATATCCAAATATCTTGTATGCTTATCATGTGCCAGACAATATTGACTTATGGGATCCGCAGGCCAAACCTGTCAGATTTGTTTCTCATTTTTCACCTGAGGATACTACATGCACTTTAAGTAACTTGCCTGAGTTTACTCAGGTAGTAAGCTGCAAAGCTGGAACTTGTGCCTGGGTTCTCTGATTCAGCACCTCACAGCTAACCTTTGTTTTATATTGCTTCCCATACCTGAGATGTAAATAGGCAAATGTGGATGATTAAAAAATATATTTCAAATATTGCAACTGCAGATTTTATAGTGATCTGGCTATCCATTATCTGTAATGAATTATTTTTCTATTTAGTATGCTAAGACAGGCTTATAAATTATTATTTGACCCCAAACAGAATGAGCGGTGAACCTCCACTCCATTTAATTAGCCGTGCTTTCTGCTTCATCTGTTTTTGTTGGATTTTCATGGTAATTTAAGTTTTGCATAAACGTGCTAAATCTGCCATAAGCAAAATAAAAGCTTTCTCAGAAAATAGTCTGAACATAGAAAAGTATCGGAGAGAAATGACAGAATTATACACTTTTGTTTTATAACTTTATTTTCAAGATAGTATTGTGCTTGCAGTCTGTTTATTTTCAGGGGAAATCGGGTTACCCCTTCCCTTCATTTATAATTTACTCAGTGATTTTACTTATAGTAATAGGAAAGATTTGAATTTTTCTTTTATTTTCCTATTTTATAATGACCTTTCTTGCTGAATGACCTTTTGAGAAGCCCTTAGAAGTTATAGTTTATGTGGTTCAGTCATTGTTCTGCTTGTTGACTACATGTTCTCCTTCAAGTAAGTATTCATCGCATGACTTTAAACTTTGATCAGTATGCTGTCATCTGAACTGTAGTCCTTCCCCAGATTTAGTCCCATACTTTTAAATGTTACCTGGGAGCTACACTGAGTTTTCATATTCAGCAAGCTCAGAAGCATATTAATATTTTTCTCTTCCAAACTTATATTGTTTTTGCCACTTACATATTTTATCTCAGCTGAAGACACAACTGTCAGCCTGGTTGTCTCATTTTTTTCCTCCACACCTTCACTACCTTTGTAGTAAAGATTGAACCTTACTCAAAAATATGTCTGGCATTTGCCCTCAGCTCACGAAAGGTGATAGTCACTGAGTCCTTGAAATGTACTAGAAAAGAGTGCCTTTTTTTATGTGGAATCTTAGGCCAACCTAATAGTCTAACTGTGATTTACATTGGGGCCTATCAGCTACAGATACCCACTCAACCTCCAGAGGGGCTGGACCCTAATAGTCTTCTTGTGTGGGCAGTCGCTTACATACATGTGACTCCTCCTCAGTAAAAACTGGACACCAAGGCTTTGCTGAACATGACCTTTGGCAGTACTTCTATGCATATTGTCACATCCCTGCCAGGAAAAGCTGGTCCCTACTGCCAGTGGAGAGGACAGCTGGTAGCTCCATGCTTTGAATTTTTGTGGACTCTACAGTGGGTCTTTTTCTAAGACTGATTTTAACCTGCATGTTTTTGTTATAATAGAACATACCATAATGGTGAGTTTTAACAGCTTTCCATGAGCTCTGTGTATTTTTGTATTGAGTAATCAAACTTGACAGTGGTCTTGTGATCCCTGAAATTGTAGTTGGTGTCAGAAGTGAGAGCAGTTTTAGTGTCTCCCTAACTATGTACAGTACTACTCACCATACACTACTATTCTTCCTTCATCAAAATCTGAAATAGCTACCAAAGGCTGTTGCTTCTACCTGAGAAATTTCTTATTTTGGATATCCTTTTTAACTCTACTGCTACTATTCAGGCCTTCTTCATCTCTTATCTGTCATATTTCAGTAGCCAGATTCTCTCATCTGTGGTGTGTATATTAGTTTGCTTATTTTAATCAGCATTTTTATGGCACTTTGTGCTTGCAGTAGTCTCATCATTATAGAAATAGGCATGCTGAAGCACACAGGGGTTAACTAATTTGCAGATACACAGCTCCCATTTGGGAGAGGCTTGGGAGTTTGTCTTACCCACTCTGTCATGGTGCTTCTCAGTTCTTCCGTGTTCTGTTCTGTCACTTTCTACGTACAAACCATGTGTGCTCCCTCACTGTTTTTGGTATTGTATTTAGACCAAAGATCATATCATAACTAAAGAGACTAAAACTAGACCCATACCTATCACCATGCACTAAACTAAGATCGAAGTGGATTAAAGATCTAAATATTAAAACAGAAACACTAAACTTGCTGGAAGATAAGTTAGGTAGAACTCTTGACGACACTGGTGTAGAAAAAGATTTCATGTACAAAACCTCAGCATAGGAACTAGCACAAAGAATCAACAACTGGGATCCCATCTTATTAAAAAGTTTCTGCACCACAAAAGAAACCACTAACAGAGCTAACAGACAACCTACAATGTGGGAAAAAAATTTTAGCAGCTCCACCTCAGACAAAGGACTACTACCTAGAATATATAAAGAACTGAAAAAAAATCAGACCCCCCCAGATTCGAAGACCCAGTTCAATAATGGGCATCTGAAATGAACAGACATTTCTCAGACAAAGAAATAAAAGCAGCAAATAAATATATGAAAAAATGTTCAACATCACTGGTTATTCGAGAGATGCAGATGAAAACAACACTGAGATTCCACCTCACCCCAGAAAGAATGGCTGCTATCAAGAAATCAATAACATGCTGGCGGGGGTGTTGGGAGAAAGGAACCCTTCTCCGTTGCTGGTGGCAGTGCAGGCTGGTGCAACCACTGTGGAAATCAGTATGGAGATACCTCAAAGAACTAGGACTAGAGGTCCCATTTGACCCAGCTATTCCCCTGCTGGGTATCTTCCCCAAAGAATTAAAAGAATCATACCACAGGAATATATGTCCACCCATGTTTATAGCCGCACAATTTGTAATAGCTAAAGCTTGGAAACAGCCCAAATGCCCATCAACTGGAAACTGGATAAAGAAGATGTGGTTTTTTTATAAAATGGAGTACTACTCAGCCATAAAGAATGAGAAACTAGAGATATTTATAGCTAAATGGATACATATCAAGGCTTATTTAAGTGAAATAAATAAGATGCACGTGTAAATACCAAATAGTTTCTCTAGTGTGAGAAACTGATTGTGTAAATAAGGGTTAAAATGATTAAAATGAATAATTGATAATTTGAAATAGGAAAAAAGGTCTAAAGATGTAGGAGTGAATGTAGGGGGAAGGGGAAAGGAAAAATGAGAAAAGAAAAAAAAATGGAGATGAAGTCTATGTAAATAGGGAAGGGTGGAGGGGGTGAAGGGCACACAGGTATCAGGGAAAAAATAAGAACCAAGATACATCATGTACAGGTGCAAACACCCAATTATAAATGTAAACATGTACCTAAAATGTACCAATAAGAGAACTTAAGGAAAAGAAAGAGATACCTCCATGGTTTTGGTACTGTATATGCTGTTCCCTCTGCCAGGAATGGTATTCTTTCTCCTTTGTACAGTCGTTGTAAGCGTGGATTCAAATCACACCTCAGCAGATAGGAGAATATGAACTAGATAAGTTATTGAACATCTATGCCTCACTGACGTCTTATGTAAAATGGGAAAAAATTATATTATTTCAGAAGATAAAATGAATATATACACGCACATACATAATATGAATATTATATAATATATAGTAAGCTCTCAATATAAGCATTATTTTTGTTATTAACCATCAAGTTTTCCCTTTTGTATTTACATTTCATTTTGTTTATGCAGCTATTATAATTTCAAGATTTTTTTGGTATAATTTACTAATATTGGCATTTCTTCCCGGACACAGAAGAGCTAATGACTTAATACTTGGGCAGGTCATTCACTTATTCACAATATAAGCAGAGTTTATGTCCTAGGCATTGTGTTATCCACTGAGGATATATAGATACTTATACATAAGGGAGGATTAATTGGAAATTTGTATGAACTGGAAATTTTATATGCACCTCATTGAAAACAAATGAAACAGATGAACAACAAAATGTGTAAGCCTGATCCCCCTGACCCAGAGTTCACATTCAGAAGTTAAAATTACATAACTACTAGTAAATACTGTAGTATTACCTGAATTTGAGAAGGGGAGTAAAGTGAGATGGTTAGGGGAGAAATTAGCTAGTGTTTAGATTTCTATTTTGTCATATATGTTGGCTCTACATTTTCAACAGTAATCTATGCAGAACCTTGTAGTTACTTTTAGCCCGTTTTAAAGTCAAAGGAGTTGGCCCGTGCCTCACAATTATAACAAACTAGACTTAGGACTTAAAAAAACTACATGCCCTTTTTTCTGCCATTTGTGTTGCTGTGAACGATCTGGTCTTGCTCGTGTATGCATAGTTTCCCAATTTGAAGCAGTCCTTTTAGTCATTATTTTTAGCCTTTTGTTGTTTTCATCAGAAATACAAATTCTCAGGATTTCCAGTCTGATGTACCATTCATAAGAGATCTGCACATAAATTGCTTCATATGAGAGATAAGGAAGAAACACTGTCAAGAAAAGAAACACAGTCAAGAAAAAGTAAGATTCCATCAGCTCATCGTTAGAATCTGAATAATAGAAATAAAATGGCAAGTACTAAAGGCATATTTTGGTGCACTTCCAGGGATTGATTTGTTTTCTAAACAAGATTTAAAATGAACAAATGAATACCCTCTAGTGGATGATAATGGCATTAAGACAGAATTTTACTTTTCTAACCATGGAAATTTAAAGTCTTCTTTAATCTACATGCTTATACCACTTGGGCTTAGCAATTTCTAGATAAAAATTTTTTTTTCCTCTGTGGTGGATTAACTAATGGTCAACTTGGAACTGAACTTGAACTGAATCAGCCTGGTCTGGGTGTGGAAGACGTAGCTGAGGATCATTGGCCATGGCATAAAAGAGATCTTGGTAGTGGTGGTGGGGCTGTTGATTTTCTAGAAGAAGCTTGCTGCTGCGGTTGGATGTTTTCATTGGAGGAGGAGCTCGGGGCCTTGTTGTCGCTGGTAATGGCTGCTTTTCTCCTCAAGGGAGCTCTGATCTTCACTGTGAGCATCACTTCCTGGGCCCAATGTGGATCCCTCAGCCTGGTGGCACAGATCCTTCAAGCCACTGGCACAGGTTTTCTGGTTTTCACCATTGTCCTTTGGGCCTTGCAGGTGCAGATCCTCAATATGGACAAGCTTGAGTTATTGCTGTGGGCTCTGGGCCACTGGCTGGACTCATGGAGGACTTTGCCTTGGACTCTGGGCCTTCAGCTGGACTTGTGTGGGACACTGCTGTGGGATCCAGACCCCTGGCTGGATTCTTTGGGTCTCCAGTGTGCAGCTAGATCTCTTGCACTCATCTGCACTTGACTTTTTGGGTGACTATTATAAAATATTCCTATAAATTATGTGTTGTATTAAATCTGTTTCCCTTGCAAAACCCTGACTGCAACATCCTCATATAGAAAGGTCAAATAGAGAATAGGAGGAGGAAAGAATGTCACAGAAAAGTTAAATGAAAATCATACTATCGAAGTGTCCAAATTAGTAATTTTTCAAAAAGTTAATTTACTAAAATTTAATTTAACTAAATTTGAATTGAAATTTTTAAAAATAGTAACTGATGAGGGCCTGGGATTTAGCTCAGTGGTTTTGCCACCTGCTGCTCAAACGCAAGGACCTGAGTTCGATCCCCAGTACCAAAAAGAATAGTAACTGATGGGCTTACAGTGAAGCTCAGTGGTAGAGCCCAGGATAGAATGTGTCAGGCCCTATGTTTAATTTCCAGCAACCCCCCCAATAAATAAACAAATAATAGAAGTCAAGAGATTCATAAATAAAACTAATTAGATTAATTTATTTATGGAATTAGTCCCCAGGCACTTAGTCAAGGACACAGAGAAAATTATCTTGTGATCTCCATATGAGCCATTTGGGGAAATAAACAAGCAGTGTGACTTGTGCTGTGATGCATTAGGATCTTCAATGACTTTCTCAAAGCTTAGTCACTCCTGTGTACCATCTGTTCAGTTTCACTTAATATTTTTCTTATAGTCACTTTTACTTAGTATTTTCTTTTGTTTCTTAAAAATTTAAACATAAGCTAATTTTATGTCATCAGTAAATTGATGTTCCTAACATGTAGTTGATGTGACTTTTATATGACCATCAGTAAATAGATGTATTGCATAGTGTATATTTAGAGAATGAATGTTAACAAAAAGACAACATTGACTAAGCATGGTGGAGGTTAGGATAACAGGAGGCTTTCTGAGGGATATTCCACACAGGCACTTTACAGGAATCATTGTCCAGATTGTCAACCACCATGTGTGCCCTTGCCTTTGCCTTGGAACTTACTTTCTCATTTCTCTCAGTTAACATATTCCATATTAGATGATATATAAAAATTTATAGTGTTCCTAAAGAGACAGTCCTCTTAAGTAACATGCCTCAAGGGAAATATGCTGCATTGGTAATGTTTACTTTGAGAGCTGAAGGAAAACTAAATAAATGAAGAAATACTGTTCTCAGGGTTGGAAAGACTGAATTACAATAGAGTTAATCCTTTCCAAGTTTAATACATTTAATACACTTCTAATCAAGTTTATTATACCTGTATGCATGATTATTTTATAAATTATTTTTAATTGACCAATTGATTCTGAAAATCACTTGAAAAATAAATACCCAGGAATAGCTTTGAATGTTCTGGAAAAAAAAAAAGAATAGTGAATAAATTGCCCTATCTGATATTAACCAGTTGAAAGTATCTTGCCCTTTGTTAGCTAAGAGGTAGGTACATGAAGTAAGTCAAGCCACTCCAGTCTGTATAAATTCTTCTTAAACGTGACTCACAATACAGGGTAAGTTTTCATCCAGTTTGTAGGGAAAAATTAAGATGGGCTTTCAAAAGATTTATAGCAGTGGCATTCATATTTCTCTTTGAGGTCTATTTTAAAGCAGTAGTTACCCAAACATGGTCCTGGGGATCGACAGCATCAGTTTCACCCTTGATGCACATTAGAGTTAGCAAACCACTTTCTTAAAGGAAGTGGTTGTCACCCTCCAAAATAGCTGAAACAGATATGTCAGGATCCTATAATGCACCGTCTCATCCATGGCAAAAGGCAATGAAAAGAGAAAGTAGTTCCACATATTACCCTAAATTGAAATTCACATGGTATGTTCGAGTCGCAGGTGTTAGATTTCATTCCAGCTATTCCTCATATAGGCAACTCTGAGGTGAGTAGCAGCTGGAATTTATTTAATTGACTATGGTTAATGAAGCTCCCAAATATCTCAGCCAGAAAGGTCAGCTAGTAAATAAAGTAAATATCTCCTGCTCTATCATTTGTCAGTTGATGTGCGTGTGTGATTGTCAAGAGCTCTAACTTGGACCAAATACAAATTCAGGAAGGTAAAGCTGTTGGGTGGAAAGCCTGGCCTGTCTGCCCATAGTGATTTTTAAATCATCCTTGGATATGAGTCACCTGAGCCACTCATCAGCTCATTAACTCCATTACATAGAGTTCACTGTAGTTAGCTTTTCATGCCTCTTATCCACATCAGAGGAAAACTTTAATACTCATTCCTTTAAACACATTTTGATAGTAGTTTTCCCAGCAATATTAGTATTCTTACCTCTAAGCAAAACAGTTTCTTGTGCAAATAGAAATCCATTTTGATAAGATGTACAGTTATATAAAAAAGCAAGATTTTTTTTTTTAAAAGATGAGAATCTATAGGGAAGATTAAGGCTGAGGCAAGTGAAACATACGTCTGATTCAGAGTAATTCCCAGTAATTATAATACAGTATTTTAATGATTTAAATTAATTTTTAAAAGCCACTGTGAATACTATCAAATTTTAAAATACAGACAGGGTTATAGCAGTGCAGGGTAGAGCCATATCAGGGCCCTGTGAAGCAAAAAGAGATGTCAGACTGATCCTGTCTCTGGAAATCAGAAGTAAGTAAACTATAAACCTAGGACCACCCTAGCCCCGTTAATAATATAAAATGGTATTGACGCCTGTAATATTAATACTCTTTTTTTTTTTTCTTTCTATTTCTAGGGATATACTGACATCTCCATCACTGTGGCAATATGCTGTCCTCCTCAACCGATTCGGTTACCATTTTGAACTGGAAAAGGATTTACATTTGAAGGGCTATCGCAGACTTTTTCAAGGGTCTTTACCCTACTATCCTAAATCAATGAAGTGCTACCTCAGTGGAACTCCAGACCGAATGGCTTCAGAAAAACATCAAGTTGGAAATCTGAAAAAATACTATCTTCTGAATGCTGCTTCTCTTCTCCCAGTACTGGCTCTAGAATTAAGGGATGGGGAAAAGGTTCTGGATCTGTGTGCTGCTCCTGGAGGTAAATCAGTATCTCTGTTGCAGTGTGCCTGGCCAGGTAGGTAGTGTGCTTTTCTTTCAGGAATTAATAACCTTTTAAGATTTTTATATTAAAAATACTTTGACAGTATATGGGGATAAATGGAAAATTGAGTTTAAAAACTAATTTATTTCTTCCCTGGTGAACATTTGCTGTTCAAATAGAGTTTTAAAATTATGAGAAATGAGAATCCAATTATACATCACATTGATCAAATATATCAGTTAACTGTAGATTGAAGAGAAAATTTACTGGTGTTAGAGTTCTGAAGAACTTGTCACTGAAGGTTGCTGTATTTTAGTGTAAGAAATCACAAAACACCAAGATTGTTTCATAAGGTTTCTTATAATTTTTATAATTTAAGCTGAAGTGTTACAGAATCATGTCAGGAGTATTTGTTTTTACTTCCACTCTTTGTGTTCTTTGACAATGTTCTTATACTGGCCCTTACAAGACATATAATATATAAACTCACTACTTCTGGGCATAAAATTTTTAGTATTGTAAAAGATGAAAGGGGAATTTCAAACTTGGCCGTCATTTTGGAGAAAGAGCATTTTAATCTTAAATTATCCTCATTAGTAGATATAAATATTTTATACATTTATAGAATAAGGAAGCTGATTTGATTGGGAACCCCAAAACAAATTGATATAGTCTATGAGTTTGAAGTGGAGAAGAATCTTCCTTTTCTTATACCAAAGGCAGTGAACTTCAGGCAGTGCTCCAAGTAAAGTAGATTTTCATCTAAGTAGGACTAATGGTAATGGTTTATTAAGAAGTACAGGTGTCTTCATGGTCATGCTACCCAAATTAGGTTAGCTACAGTGCTGAAGTTTGGATGTTAGAAGCAATGCTAGTAAAAGCTTTTATAACCAAAACTTAAAATGATGGTTGTGCTAAGTGTACAATTTATGCACCAAATTCCTGTAGATTCATACTGGCCATTATTTTGGGCAGAAAGGTTCACAACTTTGAATGATTATAAAGCTCATGTTTTAGGATGACAAAAAAAATTAGTCTCCTTTTCTTTTGGCTCAGCTGTTAGCAGTGATGGACTGATCATTGTTTTTTGTCAGCACAGTTTTATAATATCCTGGCCTTAACAGAAAAAAGCAAACAATTATGAATCTAAATAGGAAAACATTAACATACTAAGATTAGTTGAGTGGCGTGGTCACCTTTCTTGTTGAGGGATGTCCCCCTACTGGAGTAAAATTTTTTTCACTGTTTGTGTTAGTTCACTAGCTTTCCTGTCACTGGGACCAAATACCCAACACCCACAGCTTAAAGGAGGAAAGGATTATGTGGCACACAGTTTAAGAGGTTCATTCGATGGTCAGCAGGCTCAGAGCAGGAGCATCATTAGCAGAAGGGCATGGCCGAGCAAGATGCTTAGTTTATGGTGGTGGGAAGCAGAGCAGAGAAATAGCACTAGAAAGGAAGGGACCAGTGACCAAGGAGGTCACACTTCCATGACACATCCAGACTCTTCTAGAAGTGTGCATTCCTAGTCTCCCAGGGAGCTCCCAAGCCAGTCAAGAAGATAATTCATATCACTTGTCAGTGACCTCTTTTTGACCTCTAGTTAGCCTTTAGTGGTAAAGAAAATTAGTAAGACTCCTTTCTTTATTGAGTTGCTTTTTCTTTCCTTTCTGCTCCTTCATGTCTCTAGGTCTTTTTGCACATTCTGCTTCTTTTCCCTTCTTCCCCTAACTCCTTTCCTTCCTTTGGGTTTTGCCTCAGGAATTCACTTCCCCAGTAAGATTTTCTTGAACTCTGTATTAGGTTCATCTTCTTTGCGTAATAATAAAGATAATAACCATTTTGGAACAACGTCCCAAGGACTGTGTTAATTACACTGTATAAATCTGTACTTTTAAAATATGGTTTAGTCTTTGCTTCTAAAGTGGTATCTTCATACAAAAAATTTCTAAAGTCTTGGAGCTTAGAAGAACATAGTGTGACTGTCACTGATTATATCTATATCTATATCTTTATCTATCTATATATAAAATCTCACTTGTTTCCACAATGCTGTCAGTTGATGATTATTAATCCCATTTTATAGATGAAACTGAGACAAAAAGAAGTTAACTAAATTGACCTAAGGTCAATTCAGACCTGGGATCTGAAGTTTTCATCATCGTGTTGTTGATTCTCTTCCACAGTTTCCCAGTGATATTCCACTGCTGACTTATGAATGAGCAGAGGCACAGTCTGTAATAAGTGCTTCATAACCCAGAACCTTTAAGGGGTTTTACTCTCAAATGTATTTCAGTCTAATGTCAGCTAAATTTTAACAAATCCATTGTGTGTATTTGTGAATTTGTTTCTAGTTACTCAAAGAACCTTACCATTAGCCTTCACAACACTTCTAGTGTATAGGATAATATTACTATTCCATTTTTTACATTGAGAGGATCATAAAAAATCATAATTAGAGGTTATGACACCAAAAACTTGGGAGAACTAGAAATAAGGTAAGATTAGTTTTTTATTATGTTGCATGTGTTAAAATAAATGAATGAAACTATTCATTTGTTCAGACTGGTAAATGAACCAGTCTGCCATGTACATATGCTACAGGCTCTGTGTTTTTTCAGGAATTTGTTAAATATACCCTCTTTCCTGCATAAATGACATAATTTATGACGTAATTTAAATTAATTGTCTCAATGTAGTTATTGTATATGAGATGTGATTGATAAATGCAGTGAACATTTAAGTTTTTTAAAAAATGATTACAGTAAAAGTCACATTACCCCTAAAACATTCCCCCTCATTTCAAACATACTTATCCCATTGTTCTTGACACTGAAGCAGTTCTGGAAGTCCTCTCTGGTGAGTATCATTAATTGTGCTGTTATAACTGCCTCAGTGTCCTGAATGAAGAATATTTACCTTTCATAGTCATTTTCACTTTGGGAAAGAGCCAGAAGTTGCCTGGTACCAGATTTGGTAAATAAGGTGAATGAGGCCATACTAATGTTTTTATGAACCTGCCTTTCCATTGGATGGAACTCAGCAGCAACATTAACCATACTTTTCATCACCTCTCATAGAGACATTTACAGAAGAAGACTTGCAGAACTCCTTCAGAAGGTAGCAGGAGGGATGGGATAAGTGTGTTCAAAGTGAGGGTGGAGTTTTTTGAGGAGAATTAATGACAATGTGTCTTTTACTATAATAAAACTTTAAACATTTTGATCACACCTCATATATGTATGAAACTTGCATTGTAACCATGTATTGCATATTTTTAAAGGTTCAATTAACCTAAGATCATTTCAAATAAAATCCGTATCTATGCAAAATAATATATCATAAAAATGTGTTTCACCAGGGAGCTATTTTAAAATGCTGAATTGAGAATCTTGACTAAAGCTGTTGTTTAATACTGGCTTGATTTTCATTTGTAGGGACTTAGATATTTTTCACTGTAATACCAGTTTTCAAATTTGGTCAATTAGTGAGAATTAGTGAGACCCTGGGCGAATTAGTGATGCCTTCTCAAAAAAAATTAAAAATACAATCCTGGGGATGTAGCTCAGTGGTAGAATACTTGTCTAGCATGTATGAGGCATCTGAGTTTTATTCCCAGTCCTGGAAAGAAAGAAGAGGAAGGAAGGGAGAAAGGAGGGGAGGGGAAGGGACAGTAGAGGGAGGGGAGAGACAGAGAAAAACAAAGAACGTTAAAGCAAAATAGAATCTTTTTAATGAAGCAATAACCTCCTGATACTTAGCCAAAATGTAAAAGCCAGTGGAAAACTTAAGAGCTAAATCGAGCACTGATACTGGCTTTTGACTTAAAAGCACTTACTTAACCTGAAAATCTTTCATGTCAGTTTTCATTATTTCATGAAAATGCAGGAATAGAGTGCTTGTTGCACAGGAATGGTGATGGTGGACATACTTGTCTTATTCTTGATTTTAGAGATTTTTCCCCATTTAATATGATGTTGTCAGTAGTTGTGTCATGCATGGCTTTTATTAGATTAAGATAATGTCCTCCTATATCTATTTTCTTCAGCATCCTTATCATGAAAGGATGTTGGATTTTGCCAAAGGCTTTTTCTGCATCTATTTTTGTCCTTTCTTCTGCTTATGTGATATATTACATTTATTGATTGGCATATGTTAACTATTCCTTGCATGTCTGGGTTGAAGCCTACTTAGTCATGATGTCTAATTTTTTTTTTTTTGGTACCGGGGATTGAACTCGGTACCTTGGGCTTGGGAGACAGGCACTGGAACCACTGAGCTAAACCCCTGGCCCCATCTAATCTTTTTGATGAGTTGTTGCATTCTATTTGCCAGTATCTTGTTGAGGATTTTTGCATATATATCCCTTAAAGGGATTGGTCTATACTTCTCTTTTTTGTTTGGATCCTTGTCTGGTTTTGGAATCTGGGTAATGATAGCTTCCAGGAATGACATTCGGAGTATGCCTTCCCTTTCAGTTTCATTAAAGAGTTTTAGGAGTATTGATGTTAGATTTTCCCCAAAGGTTTTGTAGAATTCAGCAATGAATCTGTCTGGACTTGGGCTTTTCTTTATTGGTAGGTTTTTTTATTACTTCTTTAATCTCATTGCCTGTTATTGGATTATTCTGAGATTTTAAATATTCTTGGTTTAGTTTTGGTAGTTCATATGTTCTAAGAATCTATCCATTTCTTATGAATTCTCCGATTTATTAGCATACAGGTTTGCAAAGTAGTTAATAATCTTTTTGATTTCAATAGTGTCCATTGGAATTTTACCTTTTTCATTTCGAATTCCTTTGATTTGGGTCTTTTCTCTCCTTTTATTGGTTAGATTGGCTAAGTGTTTGTCTATTCTCTTTATTCTTTTGAAGAACCAACTGTTTGATTTATTGATTTTTTTTTGTATTATTTCTTTTGTATCAATTTTCTTGATTTCTCCTCAGACCTTTATGATTTCCTTCCTTGCACTAGCATTGAGTTTAAATTATTCTTGTTTTTGTAGGACTTTTGAGATGCATCATTAGGTTATTT